ATGAGCACCAGGCATACATCTGGCTTGCTAGAACCATCTGTAGATATACTTACCTTGACAGATTTTCGTTTCCAGGCTTCCTCGTCTTTGTCGTCATCCTCCAACAGTGTTTCCACTATGCCAGCGTCAAATTTCATGAATCTCATGTTTGAAGTATGAGTCAACTCAACTGAGAGGTTCATTCGTGGAAATAATCTGTAATAAAGAAGTGGTGTAGTTAGGTTTTACCTCACTGGGTTTTACTAAGCAAGCAAATCACAATAGTATAATTTTCTTGCTGTTCAGGTCAAACTCTGTTCTGGCGAGCTCCCTTACCTGAATATCGTCTGAACGCTAACAATGGTTAAAGCATCCGCCATGAATTCCTCATCTTTCTCGTCGTCATGACTACCAGCGTGAGCTGTACGCGTCACCACTACTGTATCTGAATTTAGTATTCCCGCCTCGAGTAGATCGTCCAGACTTAAATAAAAGATCAGTGTTACTACAGGAGGAAACCTAAACTAAACTATCTTTATCTATACTGGATTGCTCTATCAGTTCTAAACTGTTCTTCTTAGAGGTCCAGTAAGGATAATCTCTTATTGATCCAGTGATACTACAGGAGGAAACCTAAACTAAACTAACTTTATTTATACTGGATAGCTCTATCAGTTCTAAACTGTTCTTCTTAGAGGTCCAGTAAGGATCATCTCTTATTGATCCAGTGTTACTACAAGAGGAAACCTAAACTAAACTAACTTTATTTATACTGAATAGTTCTATCAGTTCTAAACTGTTCTTCCTAGAGGTCCAGTAGGAGACACTCTGACATAGGACCCTTGTGCATTACATGTACACTGTTTACCTGGATACAGAGCCAACAATGTAGTATAACATCGGAAAACAGCATATGGCTTGAAGAAAACTTTCAGTAGGCCTGTTCACAAATAAAGGAAAATGTCAATGTCGTTTTACTAAATTTGTGTGAAATGCTTGATAGAAATCCATCGATATTATACTATTGACTCAATATTGGTCTCACGTATTAGTTACGAAAAATTATTTGGAGCACATAATTTTGTTCATAGTATCTCATCATGATGTGCATAATATACCTTCTAGCGTGCATGAGGGGAAAATCTCCTGTTGTGACAACTAATAACCATAAGTTCACATTGATCATTCACGAGTAAGGATTGTAATATTTTCACAGATGGAGAACCATTTTGCGTTACGGAAAATTTATGTACCATAAACTACTTACACTTCCCCCACCAACAGGACAATAGGCTTGAGGGATAGACGGGGTAGATTGGAGGATCTCAGGGGAAGAATGAAATTATAAAGGCCAGCCTCAACCACGGGAGAGGCTAGAATAATGGCGCCTTCTTCTCGCTGTCTTGGACAAGGATTGTGTTCACATTGCTAGAAAATATAAACAACAAAAATTATTTAGTCTATTTATTAAAATGTTAAGTTTAGTTTAGGTGTATTCCTGTTGTGATAGTGGAGCAATAAGTAAAAACAGCTCAGAACTGATAGAGCAAGTAAAGCAGAGAACATTGCAAAAATTTACTTACGCTTGTCAAATTCAAACAACATAACGGTAAGCTTGTTGGTAGCAAGTGACATTTCATAGTGACTCTTCCAATGTAAGGAGAGATTGGAGGAATCTCAATAACGTAACTATGGGGAAATAATAAAGTTAGACTCAGTAAAATGATAAATGGCTCGCTGGTTATTGAATGTAACTCTCACTTCTGTGACTGGGGTTCAATTCATGCACTATGTAGTTGCCTTTTTATAATTTCATCTCACTCTATCAAACACAGATACTCTAGTTTCCTCCTGTAGTAACACTGGATCAATAAGAGATGATCCTTACTGGACCTCTAGGGAGAACAGTTTAGAACTGATAGAGCTATCCAGTATAAATAAAGTTAGTTTAGTTTAGGTTTCCACCTGTAATAACACTGGATCAATAAGAGATGATCCTTACTGGACCTCTAGGAAGAACAGTTTAGAACTGATAGAGCTATCCAGTATAAATAAAGTTAGTTTAGTTTAGGTTTCCTCCTGTAGTAACACTGGATCAATAAGAGATGATTCTTACTGGACCTCTAGGAAGAACAGTTTAGAACTGATATAGCTATCTACTAGTATAAATAAAGTTAGTTGCAATAAGGTAGAATAATTAACAACTAAAATAGATATCCAGTATAACTAAAGCGGCAAGCTCTACTTACTCTGGTATTTTCGAAGGCGCAAGAGCACCTGACATTGCATCTTGTAAGTCATCTTCGACGTCTGAATCGCTTGGGACGAAATAATTAACAGAAGATCCCACTGAGAGTGCATCTGGTGGCTTCATCTGCTCGAAATGAACTCCATTGCCAGTTTGCTGTTCAGGATTTGTTGCAGGTTGTTGCGAGGCTGTTACATGGCCGTTACCTGTACTGTTGGCATCTTTCTCGTTTTCGTAGTTCACTGATGTTGCAGCTGATGAATATAAAAGTAACACTAGTGTAAATAGTAGACGACGACGAACAACGAACAACGGACAACAGACAACGGACAACAGACAACGCACAACAGACAACGCACAACAGACAACGCACAACAGGCAACGCACAACAGACAACAGACAACGCACAACAGACAACGCACAACAGACAATTAACGCACAACAGACAACGCACAACAGACAACAGACAACGACGATCACTTACTGGCTCCATTATTTTTTGTATCAGACATCTCGATCATAATTTTATTGGACTGATCACTAAAATCTCCAGACGAACTGCCAAACTTAGATGATTTCGATTCTTTAACTTCCTTAAACGCACTTTCTTCTTCGCTCGACATCGAGATATAGAAACATGTGTCGTTGTAGCCCATTATATACGAACTCCCAGGATTGAGCAACACCTTTGAACTGTTCGCTCGACGAACACCAATCAAACATACACCATATCTAGAAGCAATCAGTAAATGTACAGGACAGGCTGATGGTGGTCAAGTTTACTTCAGAAGCATCTCAATTTTATTTATTTGTGGTGTAAAATGGCTGGAGTCACTTTTGACTTCCATTATCGCCATCACTATCTCGCGCTGTTGTCGTTTGCATGTAAGTGGTTAGTAGTTTCCAATTACACGGCCAAAAACGATCAGGTTGTTGCAATGTTGATGAAAACAGGATTGAACAATGTTTTGCTGCCCACATCGTTCACAGTTGTCAACAACATTGAACAATATTGTTACACCCGATTCAGGGGTCCAACAACATTGTTCAATATTGTTGACAAGTGTGAACAACGTGGGCAGCAAAACATTGTTCAATCTTGTTAAACAGCGGGCTCAGCGTTTTTACGCGTGTAGTGGTGGTGGTGGGGGCAAATCTGATCCACGCAAATAATTTCACAGTACTGTAGTATTTATTCTTGCATGTTTTATATGGTGTAAAGGCCAGTAAAATCAGTATGACGTTGTCCAGTTTGTATCATCCGTAATAATATGTCGTGTTTTAGTGTTAGATGGATGGACTTAGTATGGGATTCTAGTTCTGTTGTCCAATCCGTCAATCATAGCTGTGTGTGTATTTTTTATATAATATGATTGTAAAGTTAATAAAAAAGTGTCAGTTCTAAGACATGTTTTTAGAGTGAAGAAATAACATTTTTCCATGCCTGACCTTCTATGAGCGTTGAATGACGCGTAGGCAAAACTCTTCTTATTAAAAGGTCTGAAGACCGTACTTTCACCAAGTTTAATGTCGTAAATCTCGTTTCCAGCACAGCGACCAAATATATCATGCCATGGAACATCGGCAGAGCCATCCCTAATAAGAAAACATTAAAAATTGGCAGATCAGAAAAATTAGTTGTATAATATTTCATATTGCGATGATAGTACAGTGGGGATTGGATTCCAGTCCACTCCACCCCAGTTCAGTTTAAGTTTCCCTGTAGTTTAGGCGCTATCCAGTACATAGTCTATTAAGATATGATGGTCTCGAACCAGGCAAACTTCAAAGCCACAAAATAGAAGAGCTTTGTTTGATGTTGAACTGTGCCTCACCATGCACAAATCCTTTGCCTCAACTTCATTAAATATTATTCATCGTGGTTGCACGTTTCATCTCAGCTATCCCTATTCGACGATTACTTCATTACACGCAAATACAATGAGCTCAATCACTGTGACCAGTGTTCAGCAAAGTATTCAAAATATTTACTTAAGTAAAAGTGAAAAGTAACACCTCAATTTTTACTTAAGTAGAAGTAAAAGTACTGCTTGAAAATTTTACTTAAGTAAAAGTAAAAATATTGCCTGAAAATTTTACTTAAGTAAAAGTACTGCCTGAAAATGTTACTTAAGTAAAAGAAAAGTATTGGGAAAATATACCTCAGTAAAAGTACTACTGAAATAGAATGTAAATTCGCAAAGGTTTAAGCAGGAATAGAACACTCAGACGTGTAAGTAACGTGGTAAAACAACTTTATTCTTTAAATACCTTCATATATATATATATTCCAGTCCACTCACCGCTTTGAGAAATACTTTTTTACTTCGCCAAAATATAACAAAAGTAACGAAGTAAAAAAGTAAATATTTACCAAATATCGTACTTCGTTACAAGTAAAAAGTACTTCATTAAAAAAATACTTCGTTACAAGTAAATACTGATTTTTTTTACTTAAGTAATTTTACGAAGTAAATTTACTTCGTTACTGGCTAACACTGACTGTGACCATGCACAAATTAACATAAACTCAGACTAAAACATAATACAATGACTTCTGTTTAGTTTCCAGACTATCATATCTTGATAGACGATGTCCGGTACAAATAAAGTTAGTTTATTCTAACCTAGCCTCCTTGAACTACTTACTGTTGATGTAGAGTATGAAGCAATGTCGTGACGAGAGTGGTTATTCCAGGACAAATGCAATTGGCTGCCATTAGAGCATTCTTTAACTCATCTTCACATACAACATGTTCTGAAAAAAAAACAACCAGAAATGTGTTTAACTAACATATATAATATATAAACGACGGCTTATATATAAATATAAACTCATTAATAATTCATGAAGAAAATTCAAAAGAAATGAATCTTTAATCAATGTTTGTAAATAAGATTTGTCCTGATTTACATAAACTTCAGCTTTGATTTTCTCGGCTTAGACAATGTTTATTTTTAAAATTACTTCGCCAATGAACTCATAATATGGGTCGTTTATTAAAAAAGATAAAACATTCGCATTCAATCTTTATCTGACATTTCAAACACTCATTAATAATTCATAAGCTTATTGGCAAATCATGTCAACCATAACATGTCACGTGCAGTGGCTTTAAAACTGATAAAACACTCCTAATTAGTATTCTTTATATAAAGAATATTAGTATTCTTTATATAAAGAATACTAATAAGGCAGTATCTATTGTAGTGGTGTCCTCATTAGTATTTTTTATATAAAGAATACTAATAAGGCAGTATATATCTATTGAATTTGTAGTCGTGTTTGAAGTCGTTTAATAAACGTCGTGTTTTATTAGGTCTAAAGCCACTCGCGCTGCGCGCTCGTGTCTTTAAACCTAATAAAACACTCCTGCTCGTTTATTAAACAGTACATAAACGACGGCTTATATATAAATTTAAACTCATTAATAATTCATGAAGAAAATTAAGCCACGCAACAACTCACCAGCAAAACTGACGTGAAATTTGTTCTCAGCTTGCAATATCTGAACATAGAGTGGAACCTGTGGAGCGTAATCTTGAATAGCCCAGGTACGCAGTATAGTATGACGATCCTGGAGTAAAAGAGAAAGAAGCTCGAGTATCACAGCGTAGTAAAGTTTGTTTCACTGAAAATTCACATCAGTAAAAGATGTAACTTTTGTAAAATAAACTCACTGCTCCCTCTTTGTCAGGACTGTTGCGATCAGAAAGAATAAAAACTCCTTCTGAAACTGATATCCTAACAAAAAACCACAGCATAAAGTTAGAATGCTAGTAGTGATATAAAATTCCCTATATATATATATATATATATATATATATATATATATATATATATATATATATATATATATATATATATATATATATATATATATATATATATATACCAGGCATAAATATGTACCATACTCACTTCGCTCGTTCCAGGTCCCCGTCGTTCAAAGCCGAGCCTTTAATATAGGAGACTTTCTGAGCCCAGGCAGGTACTTGAATCAACATCCTTAACTGACTGTCGATATCTTGAGGGCAGAGTAACACCACATGGCACTCCTAAACCAATCAGAAAGAAGAACATTAACTTGTCGATCGGCTGACTGTCCGACCAACCAACTACCGATCATCCAATGGATTGGCTTGACAAACCCGACAAGCAACTGAGTAGCCGACTAACCAATCAACCGTCCTTCCGACCGACCGACCCACCGACCAACCCACAAACCAACTGACTAACGGAGCAAGACTTGGCCAACCTACTATCAAACCGACTGCCGACAAACCGATCGATCGTCCGACCCACCGACCAACTATAATGATCATCTGACGGAGTGATTCGACCAACGAGCCGACCAAGAGACTGGCCGATGTTAAAAATGTCTTAAAAACTAGGAATTACTATACCTCTAAGTCCGACTGGGCATAAAACTCTTTGAGGAAATCCAAGACGAGTGTAGGACGAAGTGAGGAGCCGCAAACAACGACATGACGATTATTTCCTCTCAACATTCCACCAAATGCACCTCCTTCCTTCTGTGTCTGCGCCATGTGGAAAGCAAGTTGCTCAAACTGAGAGAATTGAAAAAAAAAGTATTAGTAAGGATCCATCTCTTATTGATCCAGTGTTACAACTGACAGGAGGAAACCTAAACTAACTTTTTTTAATACTAGATAGTTCTATCAGTTCTAAACTGTTCTTCCTAGAGGGCCAGTAAAGAGCAATCTCTTATTGATCTAGTGTTACTACAGGAGGAAACCTAAACTAAACTAACTTTATTTATACTGGATAGCTCTATCAGTTCTAAATTGTTCTGCCTAGAGGTCCAGTAAAGAGCAATCTCTTATTGATCCAGTGTTACTACAGAAGGAAATTAGAATACCGCACATTTGGTTAAATCAAACTGGAAGCACTCTTCTTCAGGAATCAAACTTTGGTCACAGAGGAGAAATGCACATGCGCAAACCACTGTGACCAACACTCCAACTATGAAATGCACTGGATCTCAAGAAGAACAGTTCAGAACTGTCCATCAATATACAGTTAGACATACAACATGTACCCACCTGCATAGGTAAAATAATCAGTGCCATGAATATTGAGAACATTACAAAGGTCTGAGCAGGCCAATCACCTGGGACTGAATCACCATACCCCACTGTACTGAACGTTACCACCACGAACCAAAGACTTTTGAATGTTCCCCACTGATGCTGAGCTCGCTCGAAGTGTTGAACTCCACATACACTAAGGGAAACACGATCTTAGTCATATATTTCTCGTTCAAAAACAACTGAATGCAAATGGTATATTTGCAGATGGAACTTTGCCCATATACTTAACACTGGTATCACCTCACCATAATGTACAAGAACACGCAATGCTTTCGGTCGCGAGTCAACTTCTGCACACCCTAACCAGAGTACCTAGCGGAAACACGACTTTCGACATAGTATTGAATGACTCTTTTTACATGAACATCTCAGAGGTGGAAAGCGCCTGTTCTGACAACGATGCTACCGAATAATAAGTACTGATACAACTCATACAGGCTCTGACAAAGCTTCAAAATATTTACCATGTAAATATAATGCTTGTTAGAGTGCCAATAACCATGAGAACCTTTTGCATCAAAGCAGACCGTTGTTGTTGTAGACGATGCACATCATTCTGAAATGATACAATTCATCGTTGTTATTTATTGTCTTTCAACGTTGGTTACAGTATATAGCAAAAGTGTACGAGCTTTCCGGGTGGAAATTTATTTTGTTCTGTCATCCTTTGTATGCTTTCTAGAAGTGATTTTCTACTTACAAACATATTTTCTGCGATACTTTTTGCAATCCAGCAGTTCAAGTACAAAGGATTGTAAAGATTTCGCAAATCTTTCCAAAATATCTAGAAGAAGAGAGAAATATATATAAACAATGTCGAATGTTCTTAATAATTATTAAAACTCTGGTCGAACATTGACGAGAGTTGTCGATAGTTGTCGTTCACATTTGACACCAACTTTCCTCGACTCTCGTGCATTTTCATCAATTCTCATCAACTTCAAGATGACTGAAATTTTTATGAGTAGTCCGAATATCATCACATTTAAGAAAGGGAAAACACGGCCTGTTTGATAAGACTTGATGAGAGTTTTTGCCACTCACGAAGCTAGCCATAACAACAGGTGATGCTATGCATTTTTTTAATGATTTGCATTATTCAAGCCTTTAGAAATGTTATATTTGTGATGTTACTCTGAGTGTGCATCCACACCGGGCAAGCTGAAAAGTTAGCTTGGCCATGGTGGGAATCGAACCCGCGACCTTTGGGATGCAATTCAATGCTCTGCCAACTGAGCTACGCGGTCAAGCCGGTTCGAGTTGATGATATTTCGGAACTGAGTCTAGTTCCTTCGATATCAGTGTATTCTATGATATGATCAATTTTGTGCGTGTTGGTATTATGTGCTCAGGTGAATATGATGTTTGTGATGTTACTCTGAGTGTGCATCCACATCGGGCAAGCTGACTTTTCAGCTTGCCCGGTGTGGATGCACACTCAGAGTAACATGAGAAACATCATATTCACCTGAGTACATAACACCAACACACACAAAACAATCATACTTTAGAAATGTCTTGTCTTTAACCGATTTAGACGCAGGTTTATTAGCATAGCATGGCCAGTTGCCATGGCTAGCTATACCACTGGTTTTTTCCTCGTTTGACAAGTAATATATGCAGTCAAGTCTCATTAACATAGGTTGGCTTTACCTCAAAATCTTCAATGCCCTCAGTTTCACCCTAAGTGGAATCATCAGGTGACTGGGTGAAACCATTGACAATGATAATGCTGAGGCAACGGGACACTCCCTGACATTTCACGAAACGCGTATACTTACAGACACGAAAAGAGGTAAAGTTAAAAACGTCTCCACGATCATGCGCAATGTGATTTTTCCAAGAATCGATCCTCCCTAAACAGAACAACGTACGAATACCCTGAATTATTTGCAGAAAGGAACGGCCTACTTAAACCTAGTAAGATTGGAAAAGGTAAGGGATGGACCTGTATGGTCCTCTAAGGGGCGGACCATATCCATTAGAAAAGTGATGGGGGGGGGGGGGTGTAAGCAAAAAAGTGTACAAACCAAAAAAGTTTGAAAAAAAATTCGTGCAGAGAATTTTCAATAGGGAAAATTATAAGTTTATAATAAAAAAAATTTGAGCAAGGGATTAATCGTATTTACAAAAATTATCGACACAAGCAAAATATTTTAAAAAAATATTCGTACAAATTGAAAAAGTTTTCTAATGGTCCGTCCCTAAACAGAACAGTTTAAAAGTGACACACGTATTCCTGGATTATGAAATGAAAGGATAATGAACTATTTCTGGAAAAAGAAAGACACTACATACCTTGTATTCCAGGAAAGCGATAAAGATTACTTCCATGAAACAGAACAATGCAATAACGGTCTAGAATGGAAAACCATAATGTTCTAATGTTTTCTAGCAATAATATACAACCAGAGGGCACTCAGGGACCACACACCTCTGTCAGGGAGTTAAAGACAAACTTTTGTTAATTTTTCACCAATTTCCATCCAAATTTAACCACAATTTACTCAATTAGTCAGGGGCGGCGCTAGACCTCTTTGAATGGGGGGGGGGGTGTAAGTTAATTTTGCCGAGTTATCAAGGGCGGGGGGGGGGTCGCAAAATTTTTTTCCAGGCATACAAAACGTTTTCAGAACATATCTTAATTTTTCCAGGCATACAAAAATTTTTCCGGATATATCCTAATTTTTCCGCAAATACAAATATTTTTCCCGACATATCGTAATGTTTCCCGAGATACGACATAATTTTTCCCGTGATTTGTTAATCCGTAATTTTTCGTAAATTTAGTAACATTTTTATTCCGAGCCATTCAAATATTTTTGCTCAACACGAAAACAATTTCCCCATAAATCCGAAAATAATTTCCCGAGTCTAGCAGACATTTGCCGAATCTGTGATTCCCCCCCCCCCTACACACACAATCTGTGATTCCCCGCCCCTAGCTCGCCCCTGCCATTAGTCTCACAAATTTTCGTGTTAAACGTTTGATATTTTTTGAGTTATCATCCTGACACACACACATAGAAACATGAAAACATAATAATGTTCTCCAAAACATTAGTCTATCAACACTGGGCAAACAGAAAAAAAAGTACTGAAGCACTCTGGGAATTGTAATTTAGTTCCAAAATAACACAAAATTTACCTGTAAAATCCATAATATCAGAGGACGGTCTACCCACAACAAAGACCAACTAAAATAATGACAGAGGTTGGCAATTAACTCTTGAATCAGTGAATTTGAAATGAATGAATCACCAACTCAAGCACGCAACACTTACTATGAACTTTCATTAATATCCGGGCAACACCACTTTGCTGACGTTCTATCCGCGGGGCAGCCATCGCTAAACAAAAAATTGTTATTGCGCGAGAGTTGTAAACTAATCTTTATTTAAATTGGATAGCTCTATCAGTTCTAAACTGTTCTCCCTAGAGGTCCAGTAAAGATCATCTCGTGTTGACCCAGCGTTACTACAGGAGGAAACCTAAACTAAACTAACTTTATTTATACTGGATAGTTATCAGTTCTAAACTGTTCTCCCTAGAGGTCCAGTAAGGATCATCTCTTATTGATGCAGTGTTACTACAGGAGGAAACCTAAACTAAACTAACTTTATTTATACTGGATAGCTCTATCAGTTCTAAACTATTCTCCCTAGAGATCCAGTAAAGATCATCTCTTATTGATCCAGTGTTACTACAGGAGGAAACCTAAACTAAACTAACTTTATTTATACTGGATAGCTTTATCAGTTCTAAACTATTCTTCCTAGAGATCCAGTAAAGGTCATCTCTTATTGATCCAGTGTTACTACAGGAGGAAACCTAAACTAAACTAACTTTATTTATACTGGATAGCTTTATCAGTTCTAAACTATTCTTCCTAGAGATCCAGTAAAGATCATCTCTTATTGATGCAGTGTTACTACAGGAGGAAACCTAAACTAAACTAACTTTAATTGTTTTTGTTTGTGGAAACACCACGTAAATTTATTACTGCAAAGCTTTCGATCCGTAAGCCCGGATCTTCATCAGTGCTAATAATAATAATAATAAGATCCGGGCTTACGGATCGAAAGCTTTGCAGTAATAAATTTACGTGGTGTTTCCACAAACAAAAACAATTATATTTTATCGCCATGCAAACATTCAAAGAACTTATAAACTAACTTTATTTATACTGGATAGCTCTATCAGTTCTAAACTATTCTTCCTAGAGGTCCAGTAAGGATCATCTCTTATTGATCCTGTGTTACTATACAGAAGGAAACCTAAATTAAACTAACTTTATTTATACTGGATAATTCTTTCAGTTCTAAACGGTTCTCCCTAAAGGTCGAGTAATGAGATGGAATTTATGAACGCATTATTATATATTTTTAGACGTAACCAGGAGCTGTTGCGAAAATGCACCTATACTACGTCCAGACTACTTTACTGGTCAATACGGGGGGGGGGGTAGGTGAGGACCGATGATATTAGTGAACTTACCAGCCCGCTGACATAGGATCGTCATCTCCCTCGGCTCGAATGACGTAAAGAACACACGAAGCCAACTTTAAGAAGACCAAAAATAAATCCCAACGACAGCCTGAAATGAAAGACACAAAGTCAGGAAAGATGAAATGGAGGAATAATCGCAGTCTGATCACATGGGCAAAATGTTCAGCCCGGATTAAGCTATGTTATTATATGGCAAGCATCACTTCCGGTGAAATGGCGGACTGTGATTGGCTGAGAAGCACTTTCAGCGGTCCATTATTTACGTAAAAACAAACACATGCATTTTAAAACAAAACAGCAAAACTAATTAAAAATTTGAAAATTATAATTTAATTTGTTATTAATAAGATAGCGAATGGTTTTTAGTGAAAAAAAGGATTACATTGGTATTTTTTGTTTTCTTCGACCAAATCTGTACCACGCTACTAACATGCATTTCGAATCATGCATTTCTTGTTTGTTTCAAAGAGCTTCAAGTATAAATGCCATTTATTATTCAGTTTTCGTAAACTAGTGTTCTGATTGGTCGATTTGTACCGCGTGACTTACTTTTACATAACAACAATGCACGGCCGTGCATTATAGCCGTGCATGAACTTTTTATCGCACTGCAAGATGGCTGCTGAGTGTGAAAAGTTTTTGGAATTGTCCTCTGAGGAAATAGAAGCGATAATTTCGGAGGCAACGCCAACAAACACAAAAAGAGCAACGGCATGGGGTATTTCGCTATTTAAAGGTGAGTTTTTGTTGTTTTTTGTGCAGTTTACACGGTTAACGGTGACAATATGAAATGCTTGTTCTTTTATGGTTTACTCAAACTGAATATTAAAACGTTTAAAGCACTCTTTGTTCGTGCATTATCGGGATTTACAAGCACTCGTTCACGAACAAGAAACTCGAAATTTAACACTGCACTCGGCTGCGCCTTGTGCAGTGTTAAATTTCTTGTTTCTTGTTCGTGAACTCGTGCTTGTAAATCCCGATAATGCACTCCAAGAGTGCTGTAATCCTTAAATAATAAACTTTTTATTAACCTCCTTGCTCGGTATGTACAGAGAAATATCGGGCCACGGTCTTTTTGTACAAACCTCGTCCTACGGGCTCGGTCCGTACAAAAAAGACCTTGGTCCGTACAAAAAAGACCTCGGTCCGATATTTCTCTGTACAGACCTCGCGTTCGGTTAATTGGATTGGAATAATGAATATTTTTTACTTACTTGTTTTAGGATTTGTCAGGAACAAGCGAATGAGACGTTCTTTCAATGAATTATCATTCGCGTAGTGTTCCACATGAACTCTAAGAATGCAAAGATAAAATATTTTAGACTTGTTTGCCGTTCTTTGCTTCATTAAAATATTTCAATCGATATTTCAAGCGGACGCCATTACAATAACTTTCTTCAATTTTTTCCCGGTAGTTCAGACACAAACCACGGCAGCTTATTGTAGAATACTACCTACACTGGACCACCACGTTTGAGATATCTTTTTCAGATAGTTCAGACACAAACCACGGCAGCTTATTGAAGAATACTACCTACACTGGACCACCATGTTTGAGATATCTTTTTCAGGTAGTTCAGACACAAACCACGGCAGCTTATTGTAGAATACTACCTATATACACTGGACCACCACGTTTGAGATATCTTTTTCAGGTAGTTCAGACACAAACCACGGCAGCTTATTGAAGAATACTACCTACACTGGACCACCACGTTTGAGATATCTTTTTCAGTAGTTCAGACACAAAACCACGGCAGTTAATTGAAGAATACTACCTACACTGTCAATGGACTCCCACGTTCAAGAACGTCTGTATTTGTCTTCATGTATACAGAGGTATAAAATGCCTGCACAAATTATCTCGGGTAATTCATCTCTCAGAACAAATGAAGCGACCTTGTTCGTTTTTACAAATAACAGGACTATTCTCCGTATTTCTACTACAGACGAATTACGCGAGGCAATTAAATTGCTTGGCCAAAGTTCGTCCAGATATAATTCAGTTAGTTAGTGAAAGGTTGTGTTAACACTCGGAGTTCTGATAATATCTATAATGAAGATCCGGGCTTACGGATCGAAAGCTTTGTAGTAATAAATTTACGTGGTGTAGTTCCACAAACAAAACTATTATAATTATGTTTTATCGCCATGCAAACATACAAAGAACTTATTACACATGCACGTATTATTCTACAACATATGCTGCCTGAAAAAAGGCGAATGCCATAATTTGTCTCTGGACGTATCTTGGACTCGGAATGTGAAAGTCAGTTTTTCAATTGAAAAGGTCACGAAAGTCGAATGTGAAGTTTTCATCGAGTATTTATATTGAATATTTGAGCGTATAAAATGTGCGAGATGACAGCTTAATGTGAAAAATAATAGTTCGCTATATAACTTCAACTAAGTTTATTTCATTTAAGTTAAAACTGCATGTGGTGATTAAAAACGTCTCATTTTGGTCATTTATATGAAAATAAGCAAAGTCTGACGCATAATGCATGTATTTATGCATGATAAAAAGCCGTGGATCTTCTTTTTCATTATAAAGTTAGAAATAGAAATAATATCGCAAATGAAGCAAACTCGGCAGTAAGTGGCCTTCACGGCTAGCTTCGTGTTTACTGAACCGATCCGAGAGCAGAAATTAAAATCCACACAGGAGATTGTCAAGATGATTCTATTGTTTCATTAGCAATATTCTACATGCAGTACGTTTTATAATTGCGTACCGTTTCAACGGGTCTGTTTCGGAACCACAATAACAAAAAGATGAAACATAATTATGCCGCATAAATTCATAGTAAAAACGCGACACAAAGCTAACCGTATAGCTATACGTTGTCCCTTCGACGAACAAATTTGACGCTTAACTTATTCAAGTTAAACTGTACCGTATGTTTTATAAAAACCTAGAGTTTCAAGACTATTTCAGAGCCGCAATAATGGGAACATGAAAACAGATGCCGCGTGTAAATTCATAGCTGGAAAACACGGCATAAACTTTCCAAAGCGGACTTGAACTCGTCCACACAATGAACAGCATTGACGCTCAAATGATTTGTCAAAGTTGATGATATGTCAAACGCGTGAAATGTATATCATAAAACGTTCAAACAATACAGATATGTGAAATGCATAAAGTCTAACACAAGATTAATGGCATTAAAAGTAAACACAAGTTACCTGTCTTTGTCATCTTTCGCGTCGACCTTCGGACCAGCAGTCTGATACCTAGAAGAGATCGCATCCTCAGGAGTTTGAAATTTTACACCTTTTCGCGAGTGTTTTTCCTCGTCCACAGGCGCTATTTTCGCCATTTCTTATTGCTAACTAACACAAGGTCCATTAGTGAACGTATCCTAAACAGTCTCCCTAGCAACATGCTAATAAACACTGACAGGTACCGGCTTGCAATCTGGTTTGTGAAAGTAGATTTTACTCGGCTACGCAGGCTGCATGGGTTTTACTAAGCACGCATCATGCAACTGGTCATTAGTCAACCTGCAGTTATCAGAGTGAGAAAATAACGTTAAGAAATGAAAGATTATATATCAACTGAAAGAATTGATATATATAGTGACCCTAAAACACCTTCAAGTGTGTTTGAAATACTCGGCTAGCGACCTCGTTTATATCAAAACACTAAAATGAACTCCTTGTTGCGTGTATATATTCTTTGCTAAATAGCTGCATTAACACCATATACGTTTGTATATCAAATACGAATGCTCTTTCGTTTGTTAGTTTTATAGGATAAAAATAGCTTGGTGTTTGCCATTAACACAAAATAACCAGTATTTCAGCTTTGCGGTTGCACAACCGTAATTGGTTATGAATAATGACGAATAATGGCATGAATAATGACGTATATATTTTCGTCACGTTTTTCTTGACAAAGTTATCAGTCTACGTGCATATACGTCTGTTATTTCAAAACTTTAAAAAATTAAACTTCTGATGATCGAGACCAGATTTCTGAAAAAATATTTTCAAGTTTATAAACAAGCTGCGCGCATGTTTGCTTTGAATTTCACGTTAACCCAGGGTTAAGGGAACCGGCTTTTGATGAGCAACTGACGCCAGGAATCATGAGAAAGACGCATGCGCTAATTTAGCCACAGTGTCATACGAAGCTGTGTTGCTCTCCGGCTCAAATTTGGTGAACGCGCGCCCTACATGCATGCCTTATAATTTGCGGGTGTATATATAACCCACGTGTTTAAGTAAATAGGTTTCGCGTGTTTAACTTTTTCGCCCACGAGTCAGGGAAGAAAAGTGGTATATTAGCTTCGCGGGAGAGAAGTATACATTAATGTGACAAACGCTGAACAAATTGCGAAGCGCATTAGCGATGCACTTTGCGCTGCAATATGGCAAATTTAAATACTGCAAAACTAATTAGTGTCAAGAATTATATAGCGTTCAAAATATTGCGTGTCCTATATAAAGATCTGCGTGCGAGCATTCATGCATCGATGCTACGTTGTCATGGCAACTTGAAATATACAGAACTGCGCTATGTACCATCGTAATACATTTTCACCATCACTCGAAATCACGAGTAGAAGTTTTATAAATTTATTAGACCTAGAAACTCAAGGAGCAACTGCTAAAAATGCAAGTAATAACCCTCTCCCATTCCTGCGGCCCTGCGGTTCCGGTGCAGCGCTCGAACCAACTGCATGAGCTACAGAGAGACAGTTGTCGAGCTCTAACCAACTGAGCTACAGAGAGACACTTGTCGAGCTCTAACCACAAGTTCATGTATAAGGTTATGCCAATACATTTTACCTACTACCACAGCTGTTACCTCCCGCAAGTGACTTAAGCTAACTGCAAACCTGGGTCAGATAATAGTAATGGACGCACTAGCATATTGTATAACTATTCCCCATGAAATCTATGTACTCGCTGTATAGTCAGCTTTACTTGAATTTCCTATAGGTATTAGAAGAATTGTCTTTTCTATAAAAACCCAAGGTCGGAGTAATGTTTTTCCTATAGCCAAAAATTCCCCTTCTGAGGCCGAATGTCTCAAACATTTCCTCGGAACTCCATGCTAATTCACTCCTCTCGCTCAGAATGTGCGCAGGGCTATAAGTGCAAATTAGTTTGGGCTTTTTTCATGTAGAAAATAAATATACAAGCATTCATGACTGTGTATATAAATGCAAAAAAGTACAATCTCTTATAATATACCTAAGCCTATCAAAAAATCAATAAATTCACTTATAGAGTGGCCTGGAAGCAGTTGTTCAAAGGTGGCTGTTGCAATCTATATGTTTCCATCATAGACGGTCGCAACAATATATTAATTTTATTTGTTCATTTGCACATAACATTTAGCCCGATGCTTTGTCACCTGTTGTTGTCTTCTTTTGCCGTGTTTTTCCTCTAATTTTTGTACTTTTTAAAAAAATATTTTTGGTATACACTCTAATAAATGTTAGCCCCCCTGATAAGCCCTGCCTTTTGTGGCAAACATCTTAATAAAACTTATATAAAAAATATCATCGTTGGTTTGCCAAACAATTACTCAGTAAACGTATTTCCAAAAAGATAACTTTACAAGTTTCTCTGGTTCGAAGTTTTATCTTAATTTGGACTAGAAAACGCGTCGCAGAGACTCGAGAAAGCGCTTGTGAACCGTTGGATATTTAGGCAAGTGCGCGATCATTAATATTTACACAACAAATCCACACTTTAAAAACTTATAGTGTTTCCTACCTAAGTGCATCGGCTCCGTCGTAATCGTCCCAGTACATGGCGCTTATTTTAGCCAAGGCAAATCGTGGCATAGCCCATCGAGACCGTCGTTCTGCCATCACGGTTTAACTTAATGCAACTTCACTTAGAAACTAATTGTTGTTTTACAACACACAGCTGTCGCACGGTAATATACATGGCGTTGTATAAGTAAATGTTCGCGTCTTTAAACAAATTATCTCTCAATATAATTATGATGACAGCCACGGATCACGCAGCGGTGATTACGAGAATCCCTGCGACGTTTTGACAATTATACCCGCACTCAGGATTATGCTAGTTTAAGTTGAGATCCGTGCGTTGAGGACATGAGCGCAGGAGACTAAACTCTAGTCTCACGAGTTATGTACAACATCAGATCACCTTACACAGCAAAAAACAGCTGAACAATATTGTTAACAATATGGACAGCAAAATATTGTCCAGGCCTGTTTTCATCAACATTGTTAAAGGCTTGGCGTTTTTTGCAGTGTAGAGCAGCCAGCATTTATAAACATGTCCTACAAATTCTGCACAATCTACCATGTTCTGTACAACATCGGGCAGTGTAAAATAGCCCACATTCAAGAACATGTACTATACCTGTGTACGATATTCTAACCATGCTTAACTCAGCAGAGAGTTCTGTACAACATCAGATCACTTTAAGGTCGCCCACATTCAAGAACATGTACTACGTCTGTATGATCTAACAATACACTTAACTCATCAGTGAGTTCTGTACAACATCAGATCACTTTAAGGTCGCCCACATTCAAGAACATGTACTACCTCTGCATGATCTAACAATACACTTAACTCAGCAGTGAGTTCTGTACAACATCAGATCACTTTAAGGTCGCCCACATTCAAGAACATGTACTACGTCTGCATGATCTAACCATGCTTAACTCAGCAGTGAGTTCTGTCCAACATCAGATCACTTTAAGGTCGCCCACATTCAAGAACATGTACTACGTCTGTATGATCTAACAATACACTTAACTCATCAGTGAGTTCTGTACAACATCAGATCACTTTAAGGTCGCCCACATTCAAGAACATGTACTACCTCTGCATGATCTAACCATACTTAACTCAGCAGTGAGTTCTGTACAACATCAGATCACTTTAAGGTAACCCACATTCAAGAACATGTACTACCTCTGCATGATCCAACCATACTTAACTCAGCAGTGAGTTCTGTACAACATCAGATTACTTTAAGGTAACCCACATTCAAAAAGATAAACTAACTACTTCTGCACAGGAACCCTAGCCAGAGTTCTGTCATATTTGAAGGTATATATTTCCTCAAACACGCCTAATCAATGCAGAGTGTGTTTTTCTCTTGCCCTCACTTTTCTTTATCACTTTACATTACAGTTCTGCCATACATAGCTAGTATTTGTTATTTTAGATATGCGCAGTAAAAGTGCCCAATGCAAAATTGATGAACCTCATTAACTGAGCAAGAGTGAAAAGTAAAGATAAAAAAGAACCGACAAAAGATACAAAAACCCCTGGTGCACATGCATGTGAGAAGGTCGAAGCTTGTAATAACTTAACTCTAACTTAAACAGTTCGTATTATAAGCCAGTTAAACCTGTTTCGTGCATGTGTTGACGTTGAGGCAGATTCGAGAAGTGCTTATTCAAGTGCTACACAGTCTACACACTTATCTTTGTGACGGAAATCAACGTATGCTTTGACGAAGAGCAACAATATTGATAAAAAATTAGCCATGATAGTCATGACTTGTACTCCTATACTAAGTTTCTTTACATCAAAGCTCACTTTTCATACAAAACAAGTTCGGAATTGCCCCAAATCAGCCAGTCTAGACTTCTAGTTCCATTTGTTCACACAGGAGTTCGTTCGGTTAGGTCTGCTCGAATTCGTCCAGTTCCATATGCGTGAACCACTACATAGCTGAACAAACCTCATCTACTTAAAACAGCTTATCGCATCTCCTAGCTACTATAGTCCTGGAGTATATAATCTACTTTTAACCCATCAACATTGACCCCTGTTTCCCGGTAAACGTCCCAGTCCCAAATTACCAAACCTCCCTTGCTGGAAACGTAAATTACTTTGCATGAATTAAATGCATCACAAATATTACTTAAATCCAACTGAAAATTTTCGATCGCTTATTACAAAAGGTATGTCTTGAGTTTCTGCGGCAAAACTAAATTATATTTTGTCTATACGCGTACCGGCTGTCACACGCATAATTATCTACCAACAAAAAAGGTTAATTATGGACAAATTGAATATTTACCCATGGAAGTTGTGATAAGGGCAGGTTCGACCTGTACTTCGACTTGATTGACTATACAAATGGAGTTCTCGACGATCTGTCCACGACAAATTCTGCATTATATAGAAGGCTGGACATCAGAGGAAGCCCGTTTGATTCTACGCTGACATATGGGCATACTTATTTTGTGACAATAAACAGCTTGTAAATGATAATGAGATTCTAATGAGATGCTAATGAGCTTGTGGTTAACTTGGATATCAGTCATTTTTTTATTTTTAACTTCGTAGAAATTGTAAATATTTTAAAATTGTAGTTTTTATGAAATAATTTTGTAAAAGGGTTCTGAAAAACCCTTTTGGGAGAAACCATTAATTTTAATAATAATAAATTGAAATAAGACTAGGTGCTAGCTTTGGATGCATTTAACGTAGTCCACCTTACATGTATACCTATATGATCTCACCAAGTTCAACTCAGCAATGAGTTCTGTACAACATCAGATCACTTTAAGGCAGCCCACATTCAAAATCATTTACTACCTCTGCATGATCTAACCACGCTTATATCATCAATATTTCTGTGCTTAGCTAGAAGATTTTGAGGTAAAATTTATCTTTTAAATTTTTTACACTGGCACACACGTTTACATAAAAAACATGCTGACTAAATCCGCAATGCGTCCTCTCGCACGTCAAAGCGAGATTCTCGCGCGTTAATTAGGGTTAACCACACTTGTTAACTTGTTAATTAATTACGCCGCAATCCATTCTAACACGCCCTGTTTATATTACAGAAAGAAATCAGAGAACTGACCTGCGTGTTTAGACAGATAGATAGATAAATAGATAGATATTTTATTAAAAGTTACTTTGCAGCCACGCTGGCTGTTTATTACGTAGATTTTTACAATAATATATATCAGGGTTCGTAGTCTCCAAGACCAAAAATTTTAAAGACTTTCACAGATTTTTTCTGCCTATTTTCAAAGACTTTTCAAATACCTTTGAGAGCAATCAACTGTAGAGAAATTGCGAGTGTAAGCACGTCTATTTTTTAGTCCCGTCAAATCATATCCTAAAATGCGCCTTTTCGTCGATATTTGCGAAAATCTTGCTTCAATCAATCTATTTTATTAGGTAGGAAATCTTATAATCAATTCCTCACTAAAGAATTTAAAGACTTTTAAAGACTTTCTTCACTTTTTCACCCAAGACTTTTCAAAGACCTTAAAGACCTGCGTTCAAATTTAAAGACTTTCAAGGATTTCAAAGACCGCTACGAACCCTGCATTATATCAATTTAAATTTTAGACATGTTAACAACGAGATAAGTCTACTCCTCTCTCCTCCGCCGAGGCTTTTAAAGAATATGAAATTCAAAGGAATTGAAATTGCGCGATTTCCAGCGGTTGTCTTCATACCAGATACCTTCTAGCGCAATTTCAATTCCTTCGAATTTCATATTCTTTAAAAGCCTCTGCGGAGGAGAAAGAGTCTACTTAATTATTACAGTATAGCATGGATGGTACAAAAGTGTTACTAAAGCGGTTAGTGTTAGTCATTAGAAGATCATATAGCTAGCTAAAGGCGTTTGTGTCTTAAGTTATATTTCGCTTGGTGTTTTGACGTCGGCAGTGCAAAGGGTTTACGGTCACTGTCAGTTAATATTTTACAGAAAAGCTTTTCACACAGTGTTTGTCTTCGGACCGATAGCCACTTCAGTCCAGATTGTTCCAGGCTTGCTGAATACGAATGTCCTTTGTAAATTACAGCCAAGGATTTCACATGAAATTGCGGTGAAATTATAATCAAACCACTGCATATTATACAGTAGAAATCCAACGTTGGTCACAGACTATTAAAGCCACATAATTAACACACTCACATGCATATAAAAACCTCAGATAAGGACTCACTTTCCAACCCAGCTGACTCAGAAGTTTGTCATTACCCACTCAGCTTTCAAGTGGAAGCAGCTTGCAAATAATTTCGTGCAAATGAGTACATTTCTCCTTTCATGGAAACGTTTTTGCACCGCGAGATCTAATCAGCTAACATATGTTTATATACCCGTTGCAGCCCAAATCACATTCTCAGAAAACGCCTATAGTTACCACTATTCTGATGATGTAGCATATATAGAATGGAACGAAGGTAACAAAACATTTAGATTATATATTGTGAGTGAATTGATAACTCACATGCCTAGTTAGATAGATTTATTTTATTTTGACACGCTAACTACGTCAATTAAAAATACTGATTTCCACGAAGGGCCGGTGTGTTCTAAAGTTATTATATATAAATGTTCTAATTATGACTCTTATGGTATCATTCTCGTACCCAGAGCCCTTCTTACGCGCGGTGCGACGAGGGGCTCTGGCCAAACCCATATCAAACTGGCATCTGATTGGCTACAACGAAGGTTATAGTCCTAATACCAATAACCGGATATATTCTTTTACCCTGTTTTATGGTATCCGGTTTTGGATTTGGCCAGAGCCCCTCGTCGCACCGCGCGTAAGAAGGGCTCTGGGTACGAGAATGTTATGGTATCTAATAAAAGAAATAATCTAACTGTTCCAATTGACAATATAGACAACTAACAAAACATATAGTTAACTATTTACAATAAAGGATTTATATACATGTGTAAATATATTATTTACAGGGTTCGTAGTCTCCAAGACCAAAAAAATTCAAAGACTTTCAAAGATTTTTTCTGCCTATTTTCAAAGACTTTTCAAAGACCTTTGAGAGCAATCAGCTGTCGAAAAATTGAGAGTATAAGCACCATTTTTACCAAGTAATTAGTCCCGTCAAATCACATCACATCCTAAAATCCACCTTTTCGTCAATATTCGCAAAATCTTGCTTCAATCAATCTATTTTATTAGCTAGGGAATCGTATAATCAAATACTCACCAAAGAATTTAAAGACTTTTAAACACTTTCTTCGCTTTTTCACACAATTCAAAGACTTTTCAAAGACCTTAAAGACCTGAATTCAAATTTAAAGACTTTCAAGGATTTCAAAGACCGCTACGAACCCTGTATTTAGTAACATGAGCAGCAATTTTTCTTTCAAATAGAGACTGGGACCTAATCCTTCTGATTTCCTTAGGCACCGAGTTCCATATTTTCGCCCCATTAAACATAAAACTCTGTTTCATGCTACACTGGATGTTCTGATAGTGCAAGCATAAAATGGAACAAATGCATGTAACCAAGCATTTTGGGATATATATGTAAGTGAAGTAGTTATTAATTCAATTATATTATTTTGCTATCGTTCACACATTTTTATACTGTAAATCCACGATAATTATAGTGGTACTGAAAATCTTAGGTAATGCAAAGTTATCGTCACTATAAATGATACTAAATGTTTGTGTAATATCACAGAAGTATGTCAACAAAATAGTCGACAATATAACGTTAGAATTTTGGCATATTTTCAAACTGATAATTAATTGTCGTATCTTTTGCTGTGGTGATTTTTTTACAATTATACCGAGACGTCCGATAGGGTTATATTATTCAAAGGCATGTTATCTTATTCTGTGCATTATTGATGCAAAAATATCTTGCAATATATCCAAATTTGACAGGGTTTTATATAATTTTTCATTATTAAGCATAGCAGAATACAGAAAGCAACACATCGCGGAAAAACGTTGAACGCATGCGCGCGAATCTACAGAAATGGCGGCGGAAATGTCTGCCGAAATAATAGGAGTAAATTATACCCTCTTAACTTTCTTTAGACTTTCTGCTAGAGTTTTTATCTATCTGAAGTTTCTTATTGTTGGTACTATATCTCATAAAAACACTGCAAATCTCTAAAACCTATGAGCTTAGTTTAAAAGCTTTCACACTAATTATCTGAAAAATTATACATCATGAATTTTTATGAGGTTTATTAATTGACGCAGGTAAAATTATGAGAGCGAAATGTATTTCACCGGATTCACGCAACAAAGATACATTTCGCGATTTCAACAACGAATTCATTTCAAACGTCCGTATAGTCCCTCAATTACAGATATATCAATTAAATATAATCTCAAAAGTAGTTCTATAAAATAAAGACATTTTGCAGAAATAAATTAAGGGTTTACAAAATTTTTAGCGTTCGGTCATAGATGCAGCTTGTTCGATGTGAATATAATTGCATAAAAAAAGTTGCATTTCAATTTCTATAAAAGAAATTCTTGCCTTTTACGTTAATAACTGTAGAGATTTTTCATTTAAAGAAAAAATCTTCTTTTAGCTTTAAGTTACACAGGAAGACAGGAATTTTAATGTAAAAACGAAAAACGTGATTAAAAAATTTACTCTCAAACATATACACTTGTAAACATGTACACTTATAAATGTAACAATATACAATTATATATATGAGTGTGGTAAGCATTGCTTGCCATACGAAACAAGTTTGTAGTGAATAAATCTTATGAAGTAAACCAGGTTTATTTTATTTTATCTTTGATATTAGGCCTAGCTCTATACTTTGGTATATCGAGCACTCTGCTCATATACAGGTATATGATTCTAAATATCGATATTTGGTATATATAATATACGAAACAAGTTTGTAGTGAATAAATCTTATGAAGTAAACCAGGTTTATTTTATCTTATCTATATTAGCTCTATACTTCGGTATGTCGAGCACTCTACTCATTTCTAAATACATATTTGGTATATATATATATTTGGTATATATATATATATATTTGGTATATATATATATATATTTGGTATATATATATATATATATATATATATATATAAAAAATATATATATATATATATAAAAAATATATATATATATATATATATATATATATATATATATATATATATATATATATATATATATATATATATATATATACTTTCAAATTTTAGTAGTATAGCATCGCATTTTAAAAAGTAATAGACGATTATCAAATGAACTCAAGTCTCTATGGATGTAAGTTTACTATAGTTCACTTGATATTGTTTTATATATTGCTTATATATAAAGTGAAGTGTACACCTCTGTTCGACCTCGTCAAAAGACGCAATATATTCAGTCCGAAAACATCCTGACTTGAATACAAATCTAACCGCAAGGCGTCTTAAACATATGAGATGGCCTTTTAAGAATTTGTAAAAGCATGCAGGGGAGCGATATTGAATATAAATAAAAAATATGAATTATAATTCGTATTTCTGCATAAAACATTTAGTCGCCATTGATGTAAAAGCATTATTAATCAATTGGAAGCAATAAGACGAACACTAAAATACAAGAATTGGAGCTAGCTAATAGCAACGCGTATGCGTGCATTTATGCAACACAATAACAAAAAATAATTGCATGCATACCAGTTTCTGTGAGAATAAACCTCCAAATTCCTCTGACGACGGTTCAGAAAGTGAAAGGCTCGTCCTCCTTTCGGTCTTTTCATGATTTTAACCAACGACAACGATTTTCGGTCGAGCAAAACATCGAGAACCACGAACAACGATCTTTTGGCCTGCCATTATGTAAATGAGTTCAAATTCACTTGGCAACTGGAGTTTTTTTGAGTTTATATTTGTCACTAGACCACCTGTCTTTGCAGACGGCAAGCTAAATATGATAGAAAAGAAAGATAATGGAAAATTTTAGATGTTTGTCTTGATAATGGGAACGATTATCTTATATAAGGCAAGATGTTTGCGTGCAGAAATTGGAGAAAATAGAACCATTGCATGTATCGATCGCGTTATTGTAGCTATACTTCATCTGAAAAGTTCATCGTGTGTTGACTCAGTGAGATTGACATTTCTAGTTTCTAAACCAATACATTTTATCCCATTTTCGTGCAGACGCTATAGGCTATATAGCTATCAATAAAATTTCAGTGAATTTTCCAGTGAGCTCGATATGAGCTCTGTCTACTGGAGTGATGAATTTAGTAAAATCAAAATTGGCAGTGAACTCGTTGACGGATGTGACGAAGTGAATTCACTTTTCGGCTTCACTTTAAAAATTTCAAATATATATATATATATATATATACAGAGTATTCTAGTTATCTATTGAGCACACACTCACTATACACATATATGGCAAAAATTGTTATATTTTGCTTTATATAGCTTGATATTATTTTAAAACTATACATGTTTAGATTGACTTCCATTCCTGCGTTTACCCGATATAGTTCATAACTTCATATAGATTATAGTGCAATTCTACTTGTCAAATAGACAATCAAATAAACAGACGAATAGGCAATATTATATATAGCAGACAAACAAGACAACTACATAATTAATCACTAACCGTGATGATTCAATATTTAAGAGATGTGTCACTAGATAATTTGTATTAAAAACAGATTCTGTAGTAGCCCCCAAACCCACAGCAAATCTAAACCACATGCAAGGCTACATATTTCACTGTACCTTTTACACGATGTAATTGGTATTCTCCAGTCCTCTAAACAAACAGGAATTAAAAATTTAATATAACAATATAGTCATAATAGCCGGCGTTACGCTCGCAGCGGAAGCTCAGAGACGTAAAATATTGTGTGTGACAACAGGGGTCAAGCTTTTCATAACGACGTAACTAAACACGGGAAATGAAAGCAGCATTTTTCATGAACCTGATGAGGGAAAGAAGAATTATGTGTGCATGGAACGAGGCTGTGGGCCGAGTGTTTTCTCACAGATTAAAATTGCTCAAATTGTTCATGAAGATCTTCAAACTTTCCAAACAGATGTCTTCAAACTTTCCAGGTAGCCGGTCACAAACCACGACAGCTTAATGAAAAATTCAGCTTACCGATCCGCGGAGCTCCACGTTTGCGATATCTTTTTCAGGTAGTTCAGACACAAACCACGGCAGCTTATTGAAGAATACTACCTACACTGGACCACCACGTTTGAGATATCTTTTTCAGGTAGTTCAGACACAAACCACGACAGCTTATTGTAGAATACTACCTACACTGGACCACCACGTTTGAGATCTTTTTCAGGTAGTTCAGACACAAACCACGACAGCTTATTGTGGAATAGTACTATATTTAATTAATTACGATGTTTAAGAGAAAATGAGTCTTTATTATTCGTTTGTATTGCTATAGCCTATAGGTCTTGAGCATAAACTTAAAAGTCACTTGATAACGTAAATATTTACGCCTTACCGAGTTAGAGAATATTTTAGTAAGCAGAAATATAATTATGAGTAAATAAAATTTAAAAATATGGATATGACAGTCTCACTATTATCTTACATACCTATACATAACATAGCACACTGTTTTAACGTTGACAACGGTAAATTTATACAAATGTATTTATGTTTGACAATGTCTGTACGCGTGAGCGAATAAACCGAATATTATAATGTTGATGGACTTTATTGCATGATTGTGAAAACATAATAGGAAACGCTCAAAATACTCCAAACACTTTAGTTTCTTTATATTAATATTGAAAAATGGTTTTAATGAGAACGGATGTCTGACAGTCACGCACAATTTGTTTTTCGAGAATCCTCGTAATATGCAATCATCTTATATAAACAATTTACATAATAAACAATTAATATTGGCGTCGGCTTATACATGACATCAATAATGCCGAAGCGAAGCTGAGGTGGAAACATTGACCGAGGTCTAAATTATTCTCGCCTATGGCTATATGCCTATCGTGCTTAAGCCGAAACCAATAATTATTTTATTACATTCAAAAAAACCGCCAACAAAGTCAAAGTGATGACTGTGCCTGTGAGAAACTGTGAAAAAAACATAATATTTACATCAGTATAAACATAATAAATACCATCGAAAAAAGTTTCGCATTTTTTCGTGACCTTTTTGCTGCTGTTAGTGTTAGTGTTAGTGTTAATATCTTTTCCTGACAATAATTGAACAGTTTCTCTTTGCTTAAAGAAGAGAATCTACTATACAAGTTATTTTATTTCCGCTTTTAAAATTTCTGCCCACTGCGATTCTATTGAGTGCAATAATCTTTCTTTGGTTCAGATTTGACATCCTGTGACCTGATTGGTTAATGGGAGATATATCAAACGTTTCTGATTGGTCAATATAATTCAGCAACGAGTTTGAAACAAGTTTGAAACTTTTGAATGATAATAATATTGATTAATATGTATGAAAATAATCACAGCCATCTTTCTGCAATTTAGTCATAGTCTATCAAGATATGGTCAGGGGCTGGTTGTATAAAAAAGTGATTAAAGTTAACTATAATTAAGTGCAAATGTCATCCAATACGAAGCCCGTATGTGAGAGTTAATCACTATTTAACTACAAAATAGTGATTAAAAAAGTGATTAAGAGTTTTATACAACCAACCCCTGGACACTAAACAGTAGGGATGGGCCGATATCGATACCAAATACTCGATACTATCGATACCAGGGTTTTGAAGAAAAGTATCGATACTGGCAAGAATTGGAAATATCGATGTTTCGATATTTCTGCGCCCGCGATATTTTTCATTTTGGTCAGCGGCATCATCATGAAAATGATACCAAAAAGCCTAAATAGGCGTAAATAGTTCATTTTGTATGGTGCTATAATGGTCCACGGGAAGGATGGGAGTTTCTGGTTATGTTGGTTGCAATCACTGACATATATTATTCAATGTTTATATTGTTAGCGTTGTGGCCGTTGTTAATGATTTCAAGTTGGGAAAATATCGATATCGAAAAAACCCGGCAAATATCGAGCAAATATCGTATCGAATGAAAAAGCTGGTATCGCCCATCCCTACTAAACAGAATTGGCATTGTATTATGTGTTTGTCTCAGTTTCTGTTAATTTGTTCACAATCACGGTGATTGTTAAGTAACCGTCCAATAGGGATAGCTGAGATGAAACGTGCAACCACGATGAATAATATTTAATGAATGAAGTTGAGACAAAGGGTTTGTGCACGGTTAGGTACAGTTCAACATCAAACAAAGCTCTTCTATTTTGTCGCATTGAGGTTTGCCGGGATTCCAGACCTTGACAGACTATGATTTAGTTACCCAACCGACTCATTACAGGTTTTTACCGTCCTGCATCTAAATACCAACTTGTTAAAAGTTGTCAGTGACAACTTTGTATAACAACTTCACAAAACAACAGCATTGTTATGACTTGTTGTCAAGCATGTTATGAACAGGTTTTGTAACACATTCGTGGCATTTCTACATTCACATGGTTGAATTTGAAGTCATTTCCATTGAAGTAAACGGAATATCAATCATATAACCGCTGGCCAGTTTTTGTCCACAGATCGCCTGCACTTTTTCCCGCGCTTGGATGAATCGTTCGTCTACGTCAATTTCCGACTCCTTCTGATCACAAAACGAGTTCTCTACGACCTTTTCCGCGTAATCATTCGCCATTTCCTTGGTTCTATTCTTAAATACTTCCACAATTGCATTTTTCTTGGCGCGAATCAAATCGTCGTATGTCGGAAGACGATCGTAGCTGTCCGTACAACATCGTTGAATACAGAAGATACCAGTGGCGAATATCACCATGGAAACAAGACAGGCTGAGCCCAATATAAAAGACTGGAAATAGTAGTGGTTGAAGTCGATTGAATTTACCTATAAAATGAATAGATGAATAGTTTACAAGTGATAGAGCTATATATCCAGTATAGTAAAGTTAGTTTAGGTTTCCTCCTGTAGTGACACTGGATCAATAAGAAATGATCCTTACTGGACTTCTAGAAAGAACAGTTTAGAACTGATAGAGCTATCCAGTATAAATAAAAGAAAGAACAGTTTAGAACTGATAGAGCTATCCAGTAGAAATAAAGTTAGTTTAGTTTAGTTTAGTTTAGTTTAGTGAAGTAAATTATAAATATAGAAATTGCAAAGTACAAAAACACAAATGAATGAAATTGCATTGCTTACTTCTTGTTCATCAGACATGCATTCACTCCCAGGCCCTATGCGAATACAGACGTAACATTCGCCACGAAGTAGGGCGACGATGATCCACGAAGCTGGCGCGAGAAGCGGCCGAAAAAACTCGACTAACGATGACAAAAAGTAATTACATCTTGTCTTGTAGTTGCTGTGCTTGAAAATTGTTGTGGCGACTCTCCAAAATCTCTGGCAAACGATCATACTTAAAACAAGGAGAATAATCGCCGGGAAAAACAGGAAGGTCAAGCCATACGATTTGTGATTTCTGCATGTACATCTAAACATAACGAAATAAATTTTAAGACAAGCTATTTCAATTTTGGCTTAGTAGAACTCCCCCGCTAAAATAGTTTTTATCAGTTCTAAACTGTTCTCCCTGGAGGTCCAGTATAAGGATCATCTCTTATTTATCCAGTGTTCCTACAGGAGGAAACCTAAACTAAACTAACTTTATTTATACTGGATAGCTCTATCAGTTCTAAACTGTTCTTCCTAGAGGTCCAGTAAGGATCATCTCTTATTGACCCAGTATTCCTACAGGAGGAAACCTAAACTAAACTAACTTTATTTATACTGGATAGCTCTATCACTTCTAAACTGTTCTTCCTAGAGGTCCAGTAAGGATCATCTCTTATTGATCCAGTGTTACTACAGGAGGAAACCTAAACTAAACTAACTTTATTTATACTGGATAGCTCTATCAGTTCTAAACTGTTCTTCCTAGAGGTCCGGTATGGGCCATCCCTATTCCTCACCTGAACAAATCTTTAAATAAAACGACTTGTATTCCATAGACTGCCAATACTATTGTTATATTTTTAAAAACATCTCTCTGCATAATCTTCTTACAAAATTCTAACATAATATTTGCTTGTATGTACAAATATCTTGACAAACAAAACACAACAGACAACTTCTATACACAACAGACGTGTTGCCCTACAAAACGACAAGAAAAAAAGTTAGTAATAAAGTTAAAATACCTTTATTTAAGTTGCGCTTTGTGAGTTTTCTTAGAGTATACGATCGCGTCATGAGATTGGATGAATTCGAAACCTTATGTAAACTCACGGGAGACCCCAATGAGGTTTGTTCACACAGGGATTAGTATGGCTAGCGGTGATCAAATGGTCCAGTTTCATTCGTTATGTTTGAATGCAAGGCAAAATTGTTCAAATTTGAGTAAAGTCCCGAATTCATCAGTCCCATGTGAGCCTACGAACTCAGTAGAAAAGAGCTGAAATACATCGATAACCTTGTAATTGAAAGATACATTTATCAAGCGATAAACCCTCAAAACAATATAAAATTACGAAGTATTGAATCGATGAACACTTGGCTAAGATAGTTCCAAGACTACAGTCAAAAAGTGCATTGTATTTAAAGGGAAATTTCTCCAATACGAGGTTAAAAACATGAAAAGAACCTTACCTTTTATATAACCTTGAAACACAAACTCTTCTCAACCAAAACAACGCGGTTTTGCGGCCTAATAAAAAGCTATTGGACATCTGTCGTTCTTGTGGACAAATTATGCACGCCTAACGTCATAATAAGTTATTGCAACTAATAATTAATGAAGGAAATTGGTTTATTTTGTTCCTTGCGCGCCATACAGCTGGTTTGCTTTGCTATAAACAAAGAAATTATGTGAGCGCGCGGCTAATAATATATGCCATGAAAACGCACTTTGCATAATCTTGAGTGACTATGGCATAATGTCAAAACGAGCAAATGCATGATATTAGGTATTTATACAAAACAATAAAAAGATAATGAACAAGGCACAACAAGCAATTCTAACGACAGCATTCGAGGATCTATAAATACAAATTCCATGTATTTTCGAATATTTGACAATATTTTTGGAAATTTGGAATGATGGTATAGCATTTCAAAGTCTTCATTCTGGTTTAATTTAGTAAAATTGAGTAAAAGTTAAATACATGTTCAAAGTTTCAAGTCATGCCGACAGTGTTCAGTATATCGCTGTTCTAACAATTTGGATGATATTGAAGCGACAAGTTGGACAGACGCCTCTAAAGCCTGTGTTTTCTACTTCAACCGTACCGAAGAATTTTCGTTTGTGTCGGAGTCATTATAGACTATAGTTATGCTTCAAGCCCTCAGAAAACAAAGAACAACGCTACTTTCGATACGTTTGAAATGGAAAACATGCTCTTTGCAGTTCATTGTGCAGCTAAAATCCCCAGTTAAAATCTTCGTCTATTCCATTTGAAATAAATTCAACACGATCTTTCACAAGCTATCGGTAAGAATTTAAGTTTGACTAAAATATTTAAAATTTGCTTATCTTGATAAGCCTTTAGCTTCAATAGTCTTCTTTGCTACCAACTAGAAAAATATAAACACAAACATTTACAAACAAATTTATAAACATTCTATTTGGGTTCCATGCGGTTCAGTGTTGCTTTGTCTAGGCTTTGTTTACAAAGACTAAAACCACATGTTTAATTAGTCATTTCTGAGCGGTATCTTGTGTTGACAAAGTCAAATAAACACAACGCATATGTGAAACTGCAAGAGTGTATTCTTGTCGAAATATTAATTTTACAAGTAATCTCCGTACCTCTGCAATTTGTGCTGACTTGAGATCGACAACTTTCGTCCCAGTCTTCTTAAACATCTTTCCTTGCTCCTGAGACGAGAAAGATGGCGATCTTACTGATAAATTTGTTTGGGAAGAAGAAACCAGTCAAACTGGAGGCCACTGACGAAACTAGGGAAGGACAGGGCGGTCTCCACCCCCCAACCCGCAAGAAATCTTGCAAGAAATGTTGGCAATGAAAGGAAAACGAGAGCAACAAGCAATCCAGACCTTATCTTGTTCCGTACTAAGAAATGCAAGACTGTAACCTACCAGACTTCCTTCATCAACAGAACAACAAGAATATGGAACATTAATTCTTCCTAACGAACTTAAACAACAGTCTCTTTCCTTGTCCACATTTCAATATTTACTTTACAGATAGATAGATCAACTTTATTTAAACACATTGGCCTTTTCAGCAAAAGCTGATTTCCAAAAGGGATGTGTACTTACAAATTATTATTTATATACTAGCTCTAATATTACATACATAACAAATACAATTAGGCTATATACCTATTTAGACAAAAAATTAACTACTACTTTAAGTCGAGATTAAGGTCGAGGAAGATAGCTTTTTACAGAACGAATTATACGATACCGAATTGCGTATCTCTTCAGGTATCTGATTCCGTAGTTTAGCCTCACTATATTGGAAGCTTTTTTTAAGGATTCCGTTTTTGGTCTTGGAATATAAAACCTTGTTGAAGAACCTCTCAGATTATGGTCATGAATGGTATTCAGATTTTGGAAAGCTTCGCATAGTCGTTGGGGGGCTAAACCATTAACTGTCTTGTACATGAGCCTGGCTTTCATTTGTGCCCTACGTTCTTCAAGTGTTACCCAGCCTAGAGATTTTCGTGCCAAAATAGACTGACCATGTTCATTTTTTAAGTTCATGATCAACCTAGCCGCTTTGTTTTGGAATTTCTGTAGACGTTCGCTTAGGCCTTTATTAAGTGTATCCCATACTTCACAGCAATAATCAAAATAAGGTTGGATTAAGGCATTATAAACTTTTATCAAAATGTCTTGTTCGACATACTCCCTCATTTTCCTAATAGCCCCAATACCTGATGATATTTTACTGCTAATATGGTTAATGTGTTTTTCCCAACTCAAGTTTTCGTCCAATTCAACTCCAAGAGCTTTGGTATTTTTAACTTTTTTAATCAATTGATTATTTATTTTAACTCCTTCATGGGTATCAATATTACTTATTAGATATTACACTACTGCTATCAATATAAACTATGAATCTGAAAATCCCCAGACTTGGAAATCAATCGGTTTGAAATGTAACACTGCTCGTAGTCTTGCTACTCCACTCTCTTGTTGTTCCTGACAGTTGTGTTTGTTCTCGTAAATTATGTTATGTTAATGTAATTGTATGTTTATATAGTATTTGTAAAATAGGGCTCACAGTAATTGGTTTTTATACTGTTGTGGTGATTCTGCCACTCTTTGTGTGGTAAAGTTATAATGTATAATATATAATATATAATTTCTGAAAGCCTTTGAATGATAACTGAATAATTGCGTAACAAAGCGGTAAAAATTATTTTTCAACCAGTTATTTTTCAAGTATTGCATGTCGATCTTCTTATCGACATGAAAGACACATTCAACCGACAAATTCAATATGTGCGCTCGCCGTTTCTTACCGGAGTAGAAAAGGTTATTTTAGTTCCGTTTACTTTCGGATCAGCCTGTAAATCTTTGAGATTGCAAAACCAGGCATTCTCCCATTCATTTTTAATCACAGTTTCTTTCTTCATCAGAAGAACATGTCTACAACGAAAGAATCAAAATGAAAATTATTGCAAGCTGATAAAATCGAAATCATAAAACAGAATAAGAATTACTTACTTATTTGTAATCATGATCGCCATATTATTAGCGAAATAGTAATGAAATACGTAGGAATCCGTAGCCAATGTTTCTTTTCCTTGAGCGTACATCTGACAAGAAAAAAAAACGTTTGGTAAACCATACTCAATAGAATAGGAACGTTAAGGAACTCGATGGAGACATAATAGACTTCATTATCTATGACTCTGTCGTGGTTTATGCAAAAAATGGTCGGTTCATTGTCACGTGTGTATTGTGTTTTCGTCCAACCAACCAATAGCTATATTTTCATTTAACCATTGTGTAATATCACAACTGGGTAATTAAACCAACACACTGCTAATTGGTTGGTTGGATTCAAATCGAATGACTTTTTCAAGAATGGGATTACTGAATACATCTGAAGACTTACCTTAAGAAACTCAACACCTTCAGCATCGTAGCGATTGTATGGTCTCATTATCTAGAAAGAAAAGCAAATTATTTATAGCCTTTTATTCAACAAGCAATATCCTCCTGTTGCTAAAATTCTACAGGGTGTCCCCCCAAAAAACGCAAAACCATTGAAATAACGTATTGTTAAAATTTGAATTCCCTAGCACTAAGCTGTACTCAAAGATACGTAAAATATTGACAAGGGTGCATATATTAAATATTGACTTATTAAGAAATTAAAATATCTTTGAAAAGCGCACGATTTTCTGCTCTTGCGAATTTAAAACAGCTTCTTAAACGGTTTCCTTATGCGTAAAATTTACTTAACGTCAAGCTTTGATGCACGTGTGGGTACGGCAGAGTGCTGAGGCATTCAAATTTAAACAATACATTATTTCAATAGTTTTCGTTTTTGGGGACACCCTGTATACCGTATACCAGTTGCGCAATGACCAATTCTCACCTTATCAGCATAAAATCGACGTGCTGGACGTACACGCTTGATTTCACGACCACCTGACGCGGTGCTGAAATAAACGAATGGAAATAAAATATTGTATGACATATTGACAACCCTTGGAATTCCTTATTGGTCCAGTGGTACGACAACCGGACAGCCAGAAGAAAATCTGTGGTGTTTCGTAGAGTCAAATTGGAAGCGCTCTTATCACATGTGGCTGACGTGAAATTATAATCACACAAGTGCATATATTGAAGGGATTGAATATTTGAACCTGCCACAAATGGCGGGGGAAAAGTCTGCCAAAATAATAGGAGTATATACGTGGAAAAGTGTTTACTGTAAGGAAACGGCTGAAAGTATAAGGTAGGGAATTTCATCGCTTTTTGTTATGACAACAGGTTATACTGAGTTTACACTCTGTGAGGACAATACTATATTCAGACTGTCGAGTACAAGCAGTTTGATACGCGGGCGTTTGAACACAGTGTTTTTACAGACACGTGCACTAACTAATGGCTCCAACAACTTCTCATAAAGATAAGCTTACCCTTTTATTCCTTCAAACGTGCTGCTGGCGAAGTCTACAACACCGCCAACTGGTTTAGCGACGACACCAACAAGACCTTTGCCCACACCCTTGAAGAAGCCTTTGGCTCCCGACTTTTTCGCTCCTGTAAAAATATAACATGTATATATTGAACACTTATCAACACAGGAACTGGAAGCACTCCTCTCGTATGAGATTGAGGCGAAACTATCATCAAACAACTGCATACTGCGGGAACCAAACCCCGGTCATAGAAGTGGAAGGCGCATACGCTAACCATTGCGCTACAATTCTGGACAAAAACACTCGGACGCTCTTCATGGCTGATAATTACATACCATAGATGCTCTCATCTACAAAATGATTGCATCCCCATCCCTGGTACAATTTTGCTGTCTCAAATATCAACAAAGTGATAGTCATGCCTTGAGTGTTTGCCAACATTGTACCAGGGGGGGGATTTTTTTAATTTTGCGCGGAAAATTCCGCCCAGTGGAAATGGGCGTTAAGAATTGGAGAAAAGAATCGCTAAGGTTTACCTTCCATTGGCTTAGTGACCACACCAGTGACGCCTTCATATACACCCTAAAATAAAGTAATGGACATACCCATTGAGCTCTATATATATATCTGGAGCAAGAACTTCACAAAGATGGTGAAAATTGACGTTCAATATCTACGAAGTTCGTAATCAGTTTTAATACCATAAATCCCATTTGAAGGGTAAGTTCCTCAAGTTTGCGACAGCTAAGTAGCTAATCATGATTTCAGTAGCTAATTCATGCTTCAGTTGTAATGCATCAATTGCTCTGACTTCGAACAGCTAAGTTGTTCTCAAAACATAATTTGAAGTTTGCTGTTAGCCGTAAACGTCATTCTTAAGGTCTCTAATAGAGAGGTTCAGATTTGATTTCACTACCGCAACCTCTTACTGGCTCAGTACGCATCTGATTGGCTAATCGGATATATCTAACGCATCTGATTGGTTAATCAGATATATCAAACGCATCTGATTGGTTAATCAGATATATCTAACGCATCTGATTGGTTAATCGGATATATCTAACGCATCTGATTGGTTAATCGGATATACCAAAGTAGTGGAAGTGGAAGTCAAAGCTGAACCTCTGTCATCAATTCCTACCTCAAGGAGACCTTTGCCACCTCGACTTAGTCCTTCCTTCACACTTGTTGGTTTCTTACTCATGGTGGTTCTCCTGCTTTCTTGGTATTCATCATCCATGGTTAGAGCAGCAATACCTTTCCCCAGGGTTCCTGTGATACGAGACACTGCCCCAGCCGCACCGCCTGTCCGAACGTAATAATAAATATCATTGACACGTTGCTTAGGCACGCTGGTCTCACAGGGCGTGGTCATAAACCCCGGTCGGAACAAAGATGGGGGTTGGCTCACATTTGACGGCCAACTCTAATCGAGTCTCAAGCACTCACATTAAGTTAGGTCTGGTTCACATTTTGATGAGGGTTTTCGCTACAGCATACGAGTCGCGTTTTAGAAGGAGTTACTATTTTTAGACTTTTAGGATTAGGGTTTGGATTAGGGAAAGGGTTAGGATTAAGATTAGGGTTAGAGTAAGGGTTAGGGTTAAGTTTAAAATACAAAAGAATACAAAATTCCAATAATAGTAACTCCCCCTAAAACGTGCAGGTCCAAGCTCTCGCTTCTTCTATTGGACTTTACCTATAGTATGTCCAACTAGACTCTTCACTCCTAACGCTAATCCCTCAGCAAACTCTTCTGGTCCTTGAATCAGCCCCTAGATAAGACGAATTGACAAAAGTTCAATCACAAATGCTAAAGATTAGTCATTTCCATGCTAGACCACAAGACAAGCTAATCGTTGATTACCTGGTAAGGCTCGTAGAAAAGATCTTTTGCGCCAGTCGTCAACCCTGTTATCAAACCAAACGGATTTCCTAACACATCCAAACCAAGGACTAGAACATAAGCTTGCTTGATGGCCTAAAATATTTGCCATTTAAACAAACTAGTAAGAAAGAACAACATGGCTACACACGTAAAAATCTCACAACTTGTCAATAAGATGTGTTCGCAACAGGCTTGTAGCAAGCTTGTCAACAAGTTGTAACAATGCTGTTATCAAGTTGCTACAAGGTTGTCACTCACAACTTGTTGACATATTGTTGAAATACAGGACGATAACAACTAGTTGGAACAACTTGTAACAAATCTGTTGAGGTCAACAACCTTGTAGCAAGTTGTCAATAAGCCGTTCACAACTTGTCAACAAGCTGGGAACAAGCAGTGCGAACACATCCTGTTGACAAGTTGTTGGAACATCATTGCTACAAGTCTGCTGCAGGTTCGGGCGTTTTTACGTGTGTACTCTAGGGCTTATTGTCACCTAATAACGCAACTCATAACGGGAACATTGTGAGCTAGAGTAGGCCAAACAACTGCATGCATTAGAAATCTTTATATCATAAGGGCAGGAAAAAAGAATTTTCTTCCTGGGAGCACAACCTGGAGACAAAAATTTCCGGCAGACCAACGGAGTATTTTTGTGCTAAATCTGCATGTGCATAAACATATTGTGTTCTAGCTGACCATGGTTTAAATTCAAGGAATAATGTCTGTCAAGCATGTGTTGTTGTGCCCATAGTGGGACATGGGTGTTAAGGTTTCCTTCAAATTTTCAATAGCAAATCTTCATTCAAAGAATTTCCTGCAGCTGTTTAACATTTCCTGCGAGCAGTGCTCGCCTATTTTTCCCACCCCTGTATATCATAATCAATCTTTCCCTTACTTGACTTGTATAGTGGTTGGTTGCCACTTGAATCAGTTGTGATTGACTGTAGATCTGGTTTTTCAACTCGAAATATGCAAGTCTGTGAATAGCAAACAGAATAGCAAAATAAGTTCTTGACCGGGTATAACCATTATTTAAACATTAATAAACCATTATTTATTGAACATACTTCAAGACAACATCCTGAACGTCTGCAACAGCAACTCCAAGACTGTTCAACAGGAGGTCCACAACATTACCGCTGACATTTGACTGCGGTGTTGAACCTCCTTGCACTGAGAAACTCACATGAACCTGGGAACAAAAATTATTTTTTTTATATATAGGTGTGAATGTATACTTGTATGACTACGCTTACTTCATAATGTGAAGCAACTTTTACGCCATATTTGAGCAAGTGAAGATTTCTAGCTTTGGCCTTGTTGAAAGTATGTGCAGTGGCATTTTAGGAAGGGGAATGAAGGTTTTCAGAGGAAAGGAACGTACCTTGATAGGCGAAAGATGAAAGTAGTCGTAGTAATTTCGTACGTCTGTGACTGCAGCCTGTTGAAAGGAAATAACAAAGTTTACATCCGAAAGAACAAGACTAGGAGATCTTGATGGCATTGTGGCCATATAGCCAGGGACGTCGCTATAGGGGGGTTACACCCCCTCCCCCCTCAATAATTCAAACGTTGGTCAAAGTTGGTCAAAATGGAACTGTATTTGCCCAAAGTTGCTCAAAATGGAACTGATATTTGCCCAAAGTTGGTCAAAATGGAACTGATATTTGCTTAAAATTGAAGGTAAAACTTTATGAGTTATGGTAAAAAGTTAAGGTAAGAAGGTAAAAAGTTATGAAATGGTTTGCAACCGTCGACAACATTTTTGGGAAAATTTTTTACGACTTGGTCAAAATCGTAGGAAATGTTGGTCAAAACATGACGACACCCCCCCCCCCCCTCCCCATGGCTTCGCGACGTCCCTGCATATAGCATCATGTTACTTTCACTTCTGTGACCAGAGTTCAATTCCTACGATATGCTGTTGTCTGATTATAATTTCACCTCAGTCACATGTGAGAAGAGTGCTTCCAGTTTGACTCTACCAAAACAGGTTTACAATTACTTACATTTAGTGATTGCAATGATGTCGTGATCACTTTCTTATCTTCTTCGTAATTTGATTCCTAAAACAAAAATAACAAAGATTTTAACAAAAGCCACAAAGATTTTACTGTTTGCTAAAAGGGAAGAGAAAAAGAACTTGCAACGGACGAAATCCACTAATACACGAAAAAATGAAACACGACTTACATCTAAAGCTTGATTCTCGCTGCCGAACAAAGCGACAAGTTGCAGTAACCATCCTTTGTCCATTTTAACGTCTAACTCCTGAACAAGAACCTTAAAATACCTTAAAAAAACCGAAACGCCACATTGAAACACACATGTAAGTTTCTTCGTTCTCATTGAGTAATTATCGAAGTTTATTATATAAAGTATAGTGCTTTATAGAGATCTCGAGCACTGATAGAACTGATAACCTCGCATGTGAAAATTATCGGTTTCAATTATCGCTTTTCTGTGAAAATTATCGCTTTTCAAAGACTGTCTTTTATATAATAAACAGAAAAATACATGGATACGTACTTGATTCTGGTAACTATAGCGTTTTCTTCTGTGCGTGTGATCATGCTAGCTTCAATCATTGGTTTGGGTGCTAGAGGGTGAGAAAATAACTTGAATGGTTTAACAAAACAAGACTAAAATCCTCCTGTCCAAAGGACTTAGGGTGGATAAAAGTGAACGAATGCACGTACCGTTGCTTTCTGCTACAGTTTTTGGAGGAGGAATGGAATGGAAGAGAGTTTGGAATGTTGATCCAGCAACTTGACTGTCCATCTGAAAATAATATACTCGTGTAAATTTCTGTAGAAATATTTCGTGGTTTGTTATGTGTGTTATATGAAGGAGTACAGTATGGTTACTAGACTTGCCACAAGTCGACCATGGGGGAGGAAGGGCGTGGGGGAGGGAACACGCGACCCGAGCGACGAAGTCGCGAGTGGTCGACTTGTGTCCCTTGCAGGAATTTAAATCGCATTAAAAATTTTGGCGCGAATAATTTTGACATAAAAGGGGGGTGTACATTTCATACAATTACTTCACCGCGCCGACAGTGGGTCTACAAAAACACAAAAACATTCCCAAGAATTGATATTTCTTTGTCCTCGAATGAAACAGTTTGCACCGAGTATGGAAACGAAATAACTGACCCAAGTAAGCGCCGAAAGCTGTTCAATGTATCAACAAAAACGAGTGCATGTAAAAACTTATTGAATCTAGACAGTTGTTTTGTCTAACAATGTGTGCCGTAATTGTGCCGACAAGAATAGTAATTTATTAGACTTATTATAGAAAGTTGATTCAGTTCGCGAGCGATTTAATATTAGTATTAGAAGTTAATCTAATTGAAAAGAATCAGACAACTAGCTGTAACCGCGAAGCAGAGAAGCGGCGATTGTGATCAACGAGAAGACGTCGCCAGAGTTCAAAATCCGGTAAAAATACGCGTTGTTTTCTCAACAAATGATTTTGTATTAATAATCAGTAATCACGAGATCAAGAAACCCAAACTAAACCCAAAACTAGTGAGGAAATTTTAGAATCATTAGATGCATCTTCGGTACGTGACAGTATTAATAAAGTTTATTTCGACACCCTGTACTTTTAAATATAGCCTACTCAATGTAATGCTTGTTTGTGTATTTTCACATGGTTTTTGTGTTCTACAAAATTGTAATTATATTGTTTACTCTAATTGCTTCAATAGTACACATTTGTTCAACAAGAAAGCCTGAGAATATAATTTGTAATACAATAATAATGTAAACCGCTTCGGCAAATCGGCAATGTAAACAATGACGTCACCGGTGGATTTTTCCACCGGTGATATTTGGCGCGCTGCAAGTGACAAAAGTCCTTTCCACAGAGGAAGCGAAGCGCGCCATGGAAGGGTCTGGAAAGGACTTTGGAAAGTCTATATGGTTACAAGACAGCAGATGAAGTTCAACTTCAGAAAATCCGATCAACACAATTACAAGAATTAGTGGTATATTGATGACAACTTTTGCTACGCGTGGCAATATCCAGTTAATTCTTACCGACTCTCATATCGACTCTCTCTATCTTTTCTCGTTTGAACGTGGCAACGCTGGTCAACTCTCATTCTTCTTCGACCGGCGCTTGATAGATGCGCGAGAATTAAACTGTAGCATTAATCTAAACTTCTCAAACAATAATTTTTTCACTCTGGTAACTGCTGGTTGACCAGTAAGACCCTAAGTAAGACCCACGGATATCAAGGTTTTATAGTACACTGACCTGAATGTCATTAATCTTTGAGTGGAGTTGAATCTCGTGCTCTGATTGGTTAAATTGCACCCAGACTCCCGGATGAAACGTCCTTCGGATAGGACGACGTTCCGGCTCGATAATCTCCATAGTTTCAAAATCAACCTGAATTTTGGAAAATATACTTAGAGAAGGTGCTTTAGAGCAGCTTACGAGAATATTCAAATATAGAATGCTGAAAACCATGTCAGAAACACGAGTTTCTGGGGATTTTGCTGAAGGACAAGACAAGGAATGAAGAAAGAAAGAAATATTACTGGCCACATCCCGCTAAGATTTTCAAACGGGGAAAGACGTTTGATAAACGGCGAAAGACGTTTGATAATTCCAAATTCAATTTTCGTTCAATCATGTGATCAAATTGTTTCATCATTTTGGTCACATAACTTCACGATTTTGTTATCAATTTATTTTTGTCCATGGGCTTCTAATTTTATTATCCAATCAGGTGCATAGTTTTGAATTAAACGTCAGAAATTCGTTACTCAACACTCAAGTTATTCAAACGTAAACAAGGTCACAAACATCCAAACGAAGGTCAATGCAACAGAATATATGAAATATTCGTTTTATGTTCATTTTAAAGTTCCATAATCGTTATGAACAATCTATCTAGTATCTATCTTATAATATGATCTCCCTTTTAGCGAAAATATGATCTCCATCTTGTAATATACCGAGTTGTTTCGAAGTTGACTGGGAATAATTATTATAAATAGCACTGTCGAATCGTGAAGTCATGTGACCAAAATGATGAAACAATTTGATCACATGATTGAACGAAAATTGAATTTGGAATTATCAAACGTCTTTTCCCGTTTATCAAACGTCTTTCCCCGTTTGAAATTCTTAGCGGGATGTGGCCAGTTTAGTAATTTTAGTAATAAGGGGTGGTAGACATCGCCGAGGTGGCAGAATGAGATGGTATGGACATGTAATAAGAAGACATGAAGGACAGCAGGTCAGAGAAAGTATGGAATGAAGAGATCAGAAGATGTGAGGTGTAGATATTGCAGAGAAGGTGTGAGAAGCAAGGCTGAGATGATATGGGCACATAATAAGAAGAGATTAAGAAGAGATGAAGGAGAACTGGTCAGAGACACTATGGAATGAAAATATCAGAAGATGTGGGGTGAGACATTGCAGAGAAGGTGAGGGAAGCAACGCTGAGATGGTATGGACACGTAATAAGAAGAGATAAAGGAGAAGTGGTCGGAGACATTATGGAATGAAGAGATCCGAAGAAAACGTGGGGTGCTAGACATTGCAGAGAATGTGAGGGAAGCAAGGCTGAGATGGTATGGACACGTAATAAGACTATATGAAGGAGAACTGGTCGGAGACATTATGGAATGAACAGATCCGACGAAGATGTGGGTGCTAGACATTGTAGAGAAGGTGAGGGAAGCATGGCTGACATGGTATGGACACGTAATAAGAAGAGATGAAGGAGAACTGGTCGGAGACATTATGGAATGAAGAGATCCGTAGAAGATGTGGGGTGGAAGGCATTGCAGAGAAGATGAGGGAAGCAAAGCTGAGATGATATGGACACGTAACAAGAAGAGATGAAGGAGAACTGGTCGGAGACATTATGGAATGAAGAGATCCGTAGAAGATGTGGAGTGGGTTGACATTGCAGAGAAGGCGAGGGAAGCAAAGCTGAGATGATATGGATACGTAACAAGAAGAGATGAAGGAGAACCAGTCAGAGTCATTATGGAATGACGAGATCAGAAGATGTGGAGTGGGTAGACATTGCAGAGAAGGTGAGGGAAGCAAAGCTGAGATGATATGGACACGTAACAAGAAGAGATGAAGGAGAACCAGTCAGAGTCATTATGGAATGACGAGATCAGAAGAAGATGTGGAGTGGGTAGACAATGCAGAGAAGGTGAGGGAAGCAAAGCTGAGATGATATGGAGACAAGAATTGAAGAACTGTTGGTCAGATACATTACGAAGCTTACTACAATCATAACATTAAGCTATTCTTAGAACCAAACTATTTCCTCACCGTCATGTTATCAACCTTTCTTCTATACACATGTCTCCCTCCATGCGCCAGCTCATCTTGTAATGTCTTATAGGCAGCTTCTAAAGCTCCACAGGCTTTTGTTGTCATCGTTTTCCATCGACGTCTTTTCTTTTGTACTTCCCACAAGACATTACTCCTTCAAAATGAAAGTTTGGAAATGAGGGTTTCACCTCACTTGTATGCTTCTACGTTTTCTAAGAATACTCTCGTTTCCTCCTGCAGTAACACTGAACCAACAAATGTTCTAGAGAGAACAGTTTAGAACCGATTGTGCTATCCAGTAGAAATAAAGTTAGTTTAAATTGACAATTATTAACTCACGGTGTAATAGAGAGGTAAGCCAACTCAATACTTTTCTTATTGTTGACCAGGGATAAACCAATTCCTTTCAAAGACAATGTTATTTCTTGACTGGGCACTTCCAGTTGGTCCTATATTTCACAATATTAAACATTATAAACATAACATAGAAACAATTCACAATGGTAAAAATGTTTAATTTTCTGACAGTTTTCTTTCAATAAATTTTGGTAGTGAACAGCTTGGAGACGGCTAGCAGACAGTTTGTATACAGCAGACAGGCAGCTTTGCTTCAAACATATCTTGTAAACGTGCAAGCCGCAACATTATTCCATTCCCTGTTATTCGTTGCTCTAGATTCTTAGAACTCAAAGATCTGTTGTCACTTAGATACGTTTGTACAGTTACGTAAATGTTTAGTTTATATAGCTACAACGACCACTGCTTACCTGTTGAGCTCTGAAAGCCATTGTATAACTTTCAGTGAAATATAAGATACGTTGAAGACCATCAAGGAAACTTGCCCAGTAACAAAGTTGTTTATCCTTCTCACCAAGCGTTCCCATGCCATTCTGAGAATAAACAAATATTATGTATTAATGTAACAAGTAGTTTTTAGCTTTTGTTAGAAACGAAGGTGGTACAATATTGAAAATGTTTGGCTGCTGTGATTGATATCTGGAAAACCTGGAAAAAATCCAGGATCCCGAGGAACACCAGAAGTTAATTAGTAGTTAATTAGTTAATGTAATTAACAACTTAATTACATAGTTAATTAGTTAATTATTTGCTAATTAATTATATACTAGTTAATTAACTATTACTCATACTATTATATTAATTAATTAGCTAATTACTTACTTACTTCCTTACTAATTTAATTAATTAATTATGCATTAATTTACCATTAATTAACTATTACTATTAACTATATCTAATAATCTATGAGTTAATCACTTATTTAGCAATTATTAATTAATTAATTAGTTAATTTGTTACGTTTATAAATTATTACAATAAGTTAATTTGTAGTTAATTAGTTATGCAACTAAATTTTTTAAAAAGGACAAAAATATCGAAATATCTTTAATCCTTTTCCAGGTATTTCAGGAATTTTTGAATCACAAACCTTTTCCAACTTGTTTTTTGCAGAGAATTTCTCCTGCCCCAAAATAAACCACTCGACTTCGCGCGCGCCTTGAAGATTATCCCAGGTAAACACTGTGGTCTTTTTAGGTGGAAGAACATGTACTTTGTCACAATTCCTTAAGAAAAAATTGTGAAATATGATAAACTAAACTAACTTTATTTATACTGGATAGCTCTATCACATTCAGTGTTTTTCTTATAATGTACTGTACTCACAACTGTCGATAACAAATTTCGAAAGAGCTGTCGTTATCAATTCTGAGCGGCGCAGATCCTTCAAAATATGGCGTAAACGTCATCACAGTGGCTGCATCTTTACTGAACATTGTCACACATACACCACCCACCTTAAGTAAAACAATGAAGAAAATTATAAAAGGTTAATTCCACTGGATTGATAGCTCTATCAGTCCCAAACTGTTCTCACTGGACGACCAGTAAAGACCTTACTACAAGAGGAAACCTAAACTAAACTAACTTTATTTATACTGGATAGCTCTATCAGTTCTAAACTGTTCTTCCTAGAGGTCCAGTAAGGATCATCTCTTATTGATCCAGTGTTACTACAAGAGGAAACCTAAACTAAACTAACTTTATTTATACTGGATAGCTCTATCAGTTCTAAACTGTTCTTCCTAGAGATCCAGTAAGGATCATCTCTTATTGACCCAGTGTTACTACAGGAAGAAACCTAAACTAAACTAACTTTATTTATACTGGATAGCTCTATCATTTTTAAACAGTTCTCCCTAGAGATCCAGTAAGGATCATCTCTTAATGATCCAGTGTTACTACAGGAGGGAATCCAAGTACCTGGTGTTTGGTAGAGTCAAACTGGAAGTACAGCACTCTTCTTACATGCGACTGAGGTAAAATTATAATCAAACAACTGTAAGGCACATGCATTACTCAACACAGTGTAATGCTACATTTAAGGTAGCTACTAGCTATTTAATACAAACCTCGTTATCAAGTCGTAGAAGAAGATTGACATTCGACTGGAAGTTGAATGGAATTGACTCAGCTGGTGAGTCATCTGTCTTGATCTTTAGGTTCTTGGCAGGAGTTCTGTTTGGCCAGAATGGGATTGTCTAAATAAAAAAAGATTAAAGAGAAGTGATTTACAAAATACGCAAAAACAATGTTACCAGTTGGAAGCTGGAACAAGCTACAGAGAAAACAACTTTATTGGTGGGTTAAATAATAAAACATAGAACATACCTCGCCTGACTTAGCAGTGTACCACAGACCTTCCGCCTCGCATAGTGAAATGGCGTGCTAGGAAAGAAATAGAAATAAGCGATGACATTTGAAATATAAGATCACAATAGAAATATAATTTTATGATACAAATAAAAATATGATTTCAGTAAGTACTATGGGGCAACAGATGGTGTCAATTTTGGAACTCTTGACACGTATAGCATCCTGAAAACTTATATTTCGTTTCCTCCAAATACAAGATTATTAACATTCCGAACTAACATTCTGGCTCTGATAACTGTAGGTTGACGACCATCGGCTGCATGAGAGTGTTTAGTAAAAGCCACCTATCACATATCACTACAAATATTACATTAGGTGTACCTTGGTATGGTTGACCAGTAAGTTTAATGGTGTAAACACAACAATTTTGGTCAAACTGAAGTATGATAGTCGAATCTCTGAGCCAATCTAATGTTTGAAACAAAGAATATTAAGGCATGCGGTATGGTATGGTATGGCATGGCATAGTATGATATGTGGTACGGTATATGGTATGGTATGGTATGATATGGTATGGTATGGTACGATATGGTATGGTATATGATATATGGAACATGATATGATGTATGGTACGGTATGGTATGGTATGGTATGGTATGGTATTGTATAACAGAATCATCTTACCCCATATTCTTTGCCATCCTTCTTACATTTCAGAGAGCCTCCACTACCAGCAGTATCGAGAGAGAATTTGTCTGACCAATCTGATCCACTTGTACGAAGTCGAAGCTGGAAAAGAGTCATGAGTCAGTTCAGCTTCCCACTCATGTATTGCTGCCCCAAAATTGGCGGCAACAAAACGAAGATGTGTGGTCAGGCTACCCACTCACCGTATTTTTGTTTTTTGAAGTGAATGCAAATATGGCCACATCGTTTTCGTTCGCGGGATGTTGAATTACTGCATCAGAGTCTGAGGCCTGCAAAATAAACATTATGGTAATTCGGGGGTGTAATTCGACAGCAGTTCACTCAATCAGAAGAAAAAATAGCTTTCTCGATACACAAACAGTCTTAATAGCTTCAAATTACTCAAATATCTCATTCACGAGTCCAGAATTTCAATGAGGATCTCATTAGCGAAAACAGTATCAACCTGTTGTTTGTCTTTATCGTTGTTTGTTTCCATTTGTGACTGTTAATTTGTTTATCTGTTTATTAGTATGTCTAATATCTGTCACACTATAGTGTAAGTTATTGTTGGGAACCTTGTTATTGGAGAATCTTTCTCTGTGTGGTCATTCCAGCCATTGTGTGTAATTCATAGTTAGTTTATACCTTTAATAATGGCAAACTTGTAAAATAAAATAACACCCCACATATTCTTACATTCCTACCTTATACTCCAGTGGTAGTCCAGTGTAATTTATAAGCCAGTACATCGAATAGAGTGTAATCTCCAGTGATCCAGATCTCTTAACATACACACCAACCACCTTAACATAGGGTAGAAATTTCACAATTTCAAAATGCGTAATAAGCCTGTTTCACGCCATGCGCTCAACCCTAATTTTCCTGAGTCCTAAATCTATCCATTAATGGCAGACTGTTGCATCTTATAATGGAGCAAAGCACAGTATTCTTGGGTTTCACTACGTTATTATGCAGTAAATCTGATGGGGGGTCAACCTCAAATATACTGATGTTTATGCTGTACGGGAGTGAGAAAATGATACGACATTCCACGTATTTGCCACCAAACACAAGGCTAATTATAAAACGAACGATCAACTCACTCTGATAACTGTGTTCTGTTTTAGGGTTGCCCCCCCCCCCCCGTCACTTCTGGGACGTCATATGAAACCCAAGAATAAGAACATCATATGAGTCAGAAACTTACTAATTTCTTAGTGCCAGACACAAGATAAACAACAGACAATTGTGCAAGATTGCCTCGCAGTCTGATTTGACCAGTATATGTTTCGCCAAGATACGACTCCAACTGAATAACAAAACAACGTAAATTATTTAACCAAATATACATCATTGCACGCAGTAAAACAACCGTTAGTTTGCTTTCATGCGGTGGCTTTCGTCTCCGTGATAGAAGCTTTCCAAAATACGGCCAGACCGCCGGACCAGAACGGTCAAATTGTTGAATGGAACGCAAAACGTTCGGACTTTGGACCTACAGTATCTAATAGGAAAATTTGGATAAAATTAGAAGCAGGTCCATTTTCGCTAGATATTTGAGAAATATAGACCAGACTAAACTTTCCACTAATACAGAGGCATAAATTTAGGTGTGAACGATCTGGCCATTAAATGGAAAGCGCCCCTGGGCTCAATTCCTGCAATATACAGTTGTCTGATTTTAGTTTCACTTCAGTTACATGCAGGGGCCGCGGAACCGGGGGGGCAATGGGGGCATGTGCCCCCCCACTTTTCTTAAAAGTGAAAAAAGTGCCCTTTTTTCTGGGCTAAAATGCCCCATTTAAAGAACGGAAAAAGTATTTCTTGAATAAACGCCCTCTTTTTCTGGAAAGAAAATGCCCTTTTCGCAGTAGTAAAGACTCTGTAAAGGCCATTTCCGACGTTAGAGAGACTCCATATTTTCAAAAATTTTCGTTCGGCTCGTGAACGTCATAAAATCGTTTGATTCTGGTCATATACAAAAGTGCCCCTTTCGGTCAATGCCCCTCCACTTTCGAAATGCTTCCGCGGCCTCTGGTTACATGCGAGAAGAATGCTTCCAGTTTGACTTTACAAAACATTTCAGGTTTTATCCATGTACTCAGGTTCCTCCTCTAGTAACACTAAACAAGAATGGAATAGATCATACGGGACATCAAGGGAGACTTAGGAGTCCAGTATCGAGTGAGGTTTAGTTTACTATTGTTAAAACATACCGACCATACTGACCCTTATATTGAGTACTGGATTATTGTCAAGATCCACTGTATAGATTGGCAGTTTGTTTCCTCCTTCCAAAGTCACAAACGTTCCAAGACCCTAAAGACGAAGGCGGAGAAAGATGAAGGCTAGCAGGCAGCTTCCAATGGTCTGGGGAAGGCCTTTGCATAATTGGGAAGGGCTATTCAGAGAAAATATATTTTTACCTCTTGACTGAATTGAATTGGGAAAGGAAGATAGTTCATCAAGACCACGGGTGGATAATAATGCAAGGTATAACATGGCTGGTTGGTTTTTGATCCTGATGCATTTGTATATCGCTCACCTACACATCGAACCTAGCGATTGAAAGTAAATATGTCGTTACCATTTGTTTACAACGCACGAATACGGAATGATTTAGTTTAAGCAGAACAGTTTAGAACTGATAACGTTAGTTTAGTTTAGGTTTTCTTCTGTAGTAAGACTGGATCGATAAGAGATGATCCTTACTGGACCTCTAGGAAGAACAGTTTAGAACTGATAGAGCTATCCAGCATAAATAAAGTTAGTTTAGTTTTTGGTTTCCTCCTGTAGTAACACTGGGATCAATAAGAGATGATCCTTACTGGACCTCTAGGAAGAACAGTTTAGAACTGATAGAGCTATCCAGTATTAATAAAGTTAGTTTAGTTTAGGTTTCCTCATGTAGTAACACTGGATCAATAAGAGATGATCCTTACTGGACCTCTAGGGAGAACAGTTTAGAACTGATAGGACTATCTAGTATAAATAAAGTTAGTCTGACCTGAACATAGAATGGATCAGCGTCGGCCCACGGAGCCGCACAAGCAAAAAGTTTCCTGCCATTCTTTGACACCTGACTCAAGCGTATTTCTTCTATAGTTTTTTCATATCTGAAAAAATACAGCAATAATATGTTACTAACCTTGGTTTGCGCCTGATCTACGACCGTTTATTGTAGAATACTACCCAGACTGGACCACCACGTTTGAGATATCTTTTTCAGGTAGTTCAGACACAAACCACGACAGCTTATTGTAGAATACTACCTACACTGGACCACCACGTTTGCGATATCTTTTTCAGGTAGTTCAGACACAAACCACGGCAGCTTATTGTAGAATACTACCTACACTAAACCACCACGATTGAGATACTCACGGAAAACCTGCAGGTTTGATGAAATATCCCAGATCATCGTTAGCGATGGTGAGAGGTATGTTGAGATAGTCATCTTGTTTCAGAGTATCCATCAACTCAATACTTTGATTTTGAACAAATATTTCCAGTGGAACGGGACAGTGATTTTTCATCTATGAATAAAGTTTTTTTAGTCATTATCATTCGAACTTCAAACTTGTCTACGTCAAGTAAATTATAGAGCTGCAGCATATTAATAAGTCAGTACCATACAGTAAATGCACCAAACTTTACACTGGCGAGATCAACTGTAGAAGCAGGCTTAATGGTTGAATGATATTGACTTGTATGGTTATAATAACTTACTCTGAATGGTGATCTTAAAACGACCAATTTTCTTCCATCTGGTGAAGTTACTTGGACCACCATTGAGCGAAATCCTTGTTTGTGAAGCTAAATGGTTAAAAAATAGAAGTAAAAGATTTGGACAGCTAGGCTGTTTAAAGTTAGTGAAGCTTGCCAAAGTTATAGAAACTTGCCTTTTTCGGAACAATGTTGAAAAACGCACAGCTTGCTTCCTTTATAGATAGATCTTTAAGCTCATGGTAGTCTTCGACCTATTTGTCAATAAAATATTTTTGTTAATTTCATAATGTCCTCAGAGCAAGTGCCTACAAGATCGTGGGATTGATATTTGCCTACAGACAATCTAGCACACTTGGAATTTGATAGGATCACTTGAATAGGTTGGGTTTTTTCAATTTGAATTTGAATTTTAAATTTGAATTTGTATAGGTAATCATCTGATGGCGAGTACAATTAGGGACTAATAGTACGAGTGATGTTTGGAAATTTTGCCAAAATTGGACGAGCCGCCGAAGCGAGTCCAATTTGGCAAATTTCCAAACATCACGAGTACTATTTTTCCCTAATTGTACGAGCAACATCGCGTGATTACTTGTTTATTATTAGCATGACAAAATTGGATACGTACTTCTCAATGTCAACATCATATTAATAATAATAGACGGTATATTTAAAATACAATCGCACCAATACAAGTAATAGTGAATTATAGTATTTTTACAAGCATAAAATTATGAAGACTACTGTTACTTTTTAAAACTAGGAATTGGAGTTATATAAAAATGGAAATTTAGATTGTAAACCTAATTGACAACGGTCATGACTTGTTCATAGTACGTGAGCACATAGCTGGGAAGAAACTGTTCTTAAATCTGTCCGTCCTACACTTAAATAGGCTAAGATTACTAGAGTGGCGCAGTTCTCTGCCATGCGACTCAATCCGGGTCGGAGGTAAAATGCGTTTAAGGCGTGATGATGGTATTGTTATTTTATCCAAAACCTTCTTACAAAGAGTATCACGACGATCGGATAGATGGGGAAGAGAGGAGGTAGCAAGCGCGGTTGAATAGGACATGTTTGGATATAAAATCCGTAGAGCACGACGTTGAACCCTCTCGATTTTGTCGGAAAGGTAGGAGGGGATAGATGTATTCCAGGCTGCACAGCAGTATTCTAGCACAGATCTGATAATCGAAATGTAGATAGTCAGGGGGTCGTTGGCAGACACACCGGAGTTACGCAAAACTCGCAAAATATGAAGTCTCTTTGAAGCTTTGGACGTGATAGAGTCAACATGGGCGTTCCATTTTAGATCGTTTTGTAAGGTGACTCCTAGCAGTTTAAAACAGGTGACCTTCTCTAAAGGTTGGGAGTTGATCGACAATGTAGAAGACAGTTCTTGCAGGGGGTTGCGAAGAAAAGAGATGGTAAAGTCCTTGCACTTTTTAGGGTGTAATTTCATGTTGTTACTCATCGACCAGGCATTAATAGAGTGGAGATCTTGTTGTATTCCAGGGGGGGAGTTACGATGGATGGCTTGGGAGATGGTAACGTCATCAACAAACATCCAATTACTAGACCTCAACGGAGAATGGCTGGCAAGGTCGTTGATCATTACGAGGAATAGGATAGGGCCAAGCTTGGTACCCTGCGGGACACCGGCAGTAACAGGAGCCCAGTTAGAGGTAAATTGATTAACTTTTACAGACTGCATCCGACCAGACAAAAAGCTACAGATCCACGGGATCAAGGCTCTTCGTACGCCGAGGGTGATAAGTTTCGAAATGACGATGTTGTGGTCGATCCGATCGAATGCTTTACAAAAGTCAAGGAAGCAAACGCGGATGTATTTTCCAGGGTTATCGAGGTGATTTAGCCAGTTATGAAGGATATCGAGAAGGCAATAAGTAGTGGAAGTGCCTTTTAAACAGCCAAATTGCCGGGGGGTCGATTTTATGACCTAAGTCCGAAATGATCCAATTTACCACAAAGTCCTCCAATACTTTGGAGAGACAGGGAGTCAAGGATATAAGTCTAAGGTCACCTTCATCAGAAACAGGCTGAACTTTTGTTATAGGTATTATCTCAGACTTTTTCCAAGCAGTTGGGGTGACTCCTTCGGAAAGAGAAACGTTAAAAACCCGTGCAACTGGTTTCGAGAGCTCGAAAGAAAATTCCTTTAGAATACGTGCGGGGATGTGATCAGGGCCACTTGCTTTGTAGGGGTTAATCTTGGCCAATTTGCTGTAGACTTCAATCTCAGAAATCTTTGGAAGGGGTTCTTCCGCTGGGAGGAAAGCAGGTATACTGTTTATGTCCAAAGGGTAGATGTCTTCGTTAACAGATAGAAAAAACGTGTTTAAATGTTCAGCAAGCTCGAAGTCGGTTAAAGCTAACCCCAGTCCTGCCAGATTTTAAACCAAAATTTGATGCTTTTGTTCGTATTTTCATTTAGTTCTTTTGTTAAATCAAAATTTGGTGCTTTTGTTCGTATTTTCATCTAGTTCCTCTAGGGCAATTTCATTTCACATTTGTGTTTAAAATACCTTTCCGCCATTTTGTTTGTTTTGGGAAAATCATTAATTGTACTGCAGTACAATTAATGAAATAATTGTACTCCTCTCAACCAATCAGCATCCAGTAATTTTGTCATGCTAATAATAAGAATTTTAAATTTGAATTTTAAATTTGAATTTTAAATTTGACTTTGAATTTTAAATTTGATTTTGAATTTTAATTTTTAATTTGACTTTGAATTTTAAATCGTCATTTTAGATTTGACTTTGAATTTCAAATTTGAATTTGAAATTGAAATCTAAATTTGAATAAAAAATTGAACTGAAATACTGTATGAATTTGTCGTCGTCCACAAAAAAAAAAAGAGGGAAGCACAACACACCTGGACAGCAATTTTGATCGTCTCCACATCGCTACTTGTGCTGGCCAATCTCAAATGCCGAGCAAAATGTAACAGAAGGGACTCTCCAGCGCGTACCAATACAACCTCATCTTTCATGTTGTCAGGGGCCTGGGCAAAGAATAAAAATGGTTACTTCAATAGGTAATGGACACTAATGGTTAACAATTAAACCTTCTTTAAAGATCTTCTTTGAAAAGTTTACCTTAAAAGTATTTCCTGGCCTGATGTAAACGTCTACACCAAGCTGAAAAATAAGAAAAAAATCGATTAATCGTCGAAGATGCCAGGTAGTATACATGCAGTGGCCACTACAAACCAGTACAAAAAATACACTCTTCCTCAATAAAAGGATAAATATTTCAACTTACTTCGTTTTTGATTTCGTATGGAGCGGTTTTCTCCAACGCTATTGATGAGCCACCAACGCTCTCTGTGACAGCTTCGCCAAACGACTAAAAACGAAATAACGGGCAAAATATTTCATCGTTGCCCGGTTGCATAATTCGTGTTTAAAGCTCTATCGTGCAGCAGATGGTAGGTCAACCTGCAGTTATCAGAGTGAGACAATAATGTTACTTCTCTTCTTTTAAATGTGGTAGTCTTGTATTTGGTGGCAAATAAATACAATGGGTGATTCCAGCTTTTGACTAAATTTTGGTCTAGGCAAGAACAACAAAATCCATCACCACAGCTAGAAATGTTACAATTAGTAAAATTGCAAAGTTTGGTTGCGAAATGTTGTAAAATGAAGAAAATATAGCCCTTTGAAGTTGGCATATTTTGTATATATTTGTTTGACGCGCGGTAAAAATAACCACTTTCCGCTCAAAAATGGTTATTTTTCCTGTGCGTAATGCAAATATATACAAAATTTGTTTCACAGGGCTATATTCTCTTCATTTTACAACATTTTGCAACCAAACTTTGCAATTTTACTCATTTTAAGATGCTCTTTCTAGCTGTGATGGATTTTGTTCTTCTTATCTAGATCAAAATTTCGTCCATGGCTGGAATTGCCCATTGAGAGATGTAGTTTAATTTTCTTGCTTCCATAAAGGTCGACATTTCTGGAGTGGACCAGCATCTGCTGCCCTGGCTGAAATATTACACACCAATGAAGGTGGAAAACTAGCACGTGTGTGTTAGTTCAAATAACCCCAAGTGTTTTAATTCAAACCTTTCCAAGTTCAGTAAACACATCTATGTTTGTCTTGGTGATTGTCAGTTCAAGAACATCATGCGATTCAACAGAGACGATCATCTGTGAGCCAACATCATCTAACATGTCATCATGGTTCATCTTGAACTACACGTAGAAATGACAGTTTACATACCATGTTATATCACACTACATAACATCATATCATACCATAGACACCATACCATACCATACCATACCATACCATACCATACCATACCACACCATACCATACCATACCATACCATACCAAAGCAAACCATACCATAGCATACCATACCATACCATACCATACCATACCACAGCATACCATACCATACCACACCACACCATACCATACCATACCACACCACACCATACCATACCACACCAAACCATACCATACCAAATCATACGATACCACACCATACCATACCATACCATACCAAAGCAAACCTTACCAGAGCATACCATACCATAACATACCACATCATACCATACCATACCACATAATACCATACCACATAATACCATACCATACCATACCATACCAAACCATACCATACCAAACCTTACCATACCAAACCTTACCATACCATACCATACCATACCATACCATACCATACCATACCATACCATACAATACCACATCATACCATACCATACCATACCATACACCATTCCATACTTACGCCAACAGACAGTTCCCATGGTCTAGATCCATCCTTAGTCTCCAACTTTTCAATTAAAGGTTCCCACTCCGAAAGTTCTTCATTGAAATAATTTGCCTCCAAGCGCAGCTCTGCTTTGCCATTCAACTAGAATATTCAACAAATAAACATTCTCTCGATCAAATTTAGACAGTAACAAGACCTTCACTGCAGGGCGACCGACGTTTGATATAAGCTGTTGTCTGACTAAAATTCCACATCAGTCACATTTGAGAAGAATGCTTCCAGTTTGACTCTACCAAACACCGGAGATTGTCTCCAGATACTCTGGTTCCCTATTGTAGTAAGACTCGATCAATTAGAGATGCCTCATAATGAACCTTTAGAAACGCTAGACCTATCTATTCTAAGTAAAGTTAGTTTTGTTAACAATTAAGGCTACTTCGTACGCTCCTTTGGTCCTAAATACAGTTCTAGTGCATTCCTTAAACAAGACAACAGTTTAACAAAATGCGATTACCTTTTCTTGCCAGTTTTTCACTTCCGCGCTAAGTTTTCCTCTCATGTTCAACAAACTGATCAAATTACCACCTTTCTCTGCCTCCACGTTGAACACGAAGCCATCAACATTCAGCATTAACTACATAATGCGAAAGAATGCTTGGACACAATTTGCATGTGTAAAAATATTTTTAGATGTATTCGTGTGATTATAGTGGTGATAAATGAACACCATACCAGACTGTAACTCAGGGCTCGAAGAAGAGAAAAAATATGGCCTGCCAGTCGAAAATATTTTGGCAGGTAAAATAAATTTTAGCCTGCCATTTTTATTCATTGAACTGCCAAAATGGCGATGTCTGATATGAGTCTTATTGTAAAAATCAATGTTTTCATGATATGCATTTTTATTGTTATTTTTAAACTTGTCTATTTTACTACAGTAAACTTGGATTTACATTTCAAATATAAACGTATTTAGTCAACTAAATGATCTAGTATATATAAGTTGTGTTAAGCAAATGAAATGAAATATATCTATATAGAATTTCCCCTACCATTTTTTTTTTTGACTTGGCAGTTCAAATTTGTTTTTGCCTTGCCATTTCTAAAATATGGCCTGCTTTTGGCCATTGGCAGTCCGCTATTTCGGGCCCTGCTGTAACTTTAATGACATCATAAATACCTGTTCTTCGCGATTGTCCGAGAGATTTTCCACCTCATTCACCGGATCCTGCGTCACACCTAAATAAATTTCATTACGAAGAGTTAGAAATCTCGCAAGCGTTTCATCGCTAACACTCATCGACACTCACGCATTCTCATCGACTTTGAGCTGGTTCAAAGTTGACGAGAGTTAATTACATTACGAGAACAAAATACACCGTGGCCAGGCATGTTTTTCAAGCTTGCCCAGTGTGGATATACACTCATAAGCTTCAAACATCAAAATATACCAAGTAACATCACAAGCATAAAAATATACCAAGTAACATCACAAGCATCAAAATATACCTTTATTGCCGCTAGTTTTCTCAAAACGACGAATATCTTTGAGTGGTACCCACATCTCGTTCCCAGCTCCTTCAATCAAAAACACGGGATCTGACTCTCTGGATTCGACCTTGGTCACCACTCCTCGCATACCATACGTTCCTTTAAGCACTATCACATTTTCACCAAGCTAAATAAAAAGAAACCGACACTGTTCTTCCAAGAGGTCCAGCAACATCCATCTCGTATTGGTCTTTAGGAGAAAACCTAAACTAAACTAACTTTATTTATACTGGATAGCTCTATCAGTTCTAAACTGTTCTTCCTAGAGGTCCAGTAAGGATCATCTCTTATTGATCCAGTGTTACTACAGGAGGAAACCTAAACTAAACTAACTTTATTTATACCGGATAGCTCTATCAGTTCTAAACTGTTCTTCCTAGAGGTTCAGTAAGGATCATTTCTTATTGATTCAGTGTTACTACAGGAGGAAACCTAAACTAAACTAACTTTATTTATACCGGATAGCTCTATCAGTTCTAAACTGTTCTTCTAGAGGTCCAGTAAAGATCATTTCTTATTGATTCAGTGTTACTTCAGGAGGAAACCTAAACTAAACTAATTTTATTTATACCGGATAGCTCTATCAGTTCTAAACTGTTCTTCCTAGTGGTCCAGTAAGGATCATCTCTTATATATTACTCTACTGGTTTTAAACTGTTCTCCTTACAGGTCCAGTAAGATCCATCATTTATTGGTCCAATGTTACTACAAGAAGAACCACCACATCCACCAATCCTATCACACATCTTCTTGTATAAACAAATATAAAGTTACAATACCATAACTTCTTTAGGCGTGATGTCTCGCACCAGTCCAGAGCGATCATTCAAAGGAAACGAACACCTTTCATCATGTTCATAGAAGCGGACGTAAATTTTGTTATCAATGCCATCAATATACCCACGATAGTAGAAATTGTCTGAGTATTTTATCCACAACAATGTTCGAACTGTGAGACGATGTCCTATGGAAGAAAACATCAGCCCACATTCAAGAACATGTACTACCTCTGCAGATCACTTTAAGGTAGCCCACATTCAAGAACATGTACTGCCTGCCTCTGCATGACCTAACCATGCTTAACTCAGCAGTGAGTTCTGTCCAACATCAAATCACTTTAAGGTCGCCCACATTCAAGAACATGTACTACCTCTGCATGATCTAACCATGCTTAACTCAGCAGTGAGTTCTGTACAACATCAGATCACTTTAAGGCAGCCCACATTCAAGAACATGTACTACCTCTGCATGATCTAACCATGCTTAACTCAGCAGTGAGTTCTGTACATCAGATCACTTTAAGGCAGCCCACATTCAAGAACATGTACTACCTCTCCTCTGCATGATCTAACCATGCTTAACTCAGCAGTGAGTTCTGTACAACATCAGATCACTTTAAGGCAGCCCACATTCAAGAACATGCATGATCTAACCATGCTTAACTCAAACAAACTTACTATTCAAATAACCGCAGTGAAAGGCCAGCAAAGCACGGTCATAGAGATGAATGTCACATACACTAACTACCAGTCACCAACACCGCTACAAACACCCAAATTACCATTTTACTTTACAACTTCCACTTAACAAAACATAAATTTCCTACCTTCTTTTTTCGGCACTTTCATCAGTTTCAAATCATATATCGACACTTCATGTACTGCACCATTATCAAACTGTATCTCGTACCCACTGACCGCAATTCTTTTAACACGACCTGGATACATCAACGGCTTGTTGGGAATGGGAGCGATGACGTCACAGCCTACGGTCACGTGCTCAGGCCGTGACGTGCGGTCAACGACAACGGCCAAAGGATCGTTGAGAAAGTGATAAATGTGAGTGCCATTTGCAAACTTGACTTGATAACGCCAGTCTTTCTTCGAGATAAAGCCCTGGCCATAGTGTTTTTTATCTGGTAGCCGAGCCCATACTGCGCTTGAGATGACTGTTTTGTTGTGAGGAGCTGAGAATAAATCAGAGGTATCATAAGTGTTTAAACTACAACCTTGATAGCTCTGTTAGTTCTGGAGGTCCAGTAAGGGTCATTGGAGGAAACCTTAACTAAACTTTATACTGGATAGTTCTATCAGTCCGAAACTGTTCTTCCTAGAGGTCCAGTAAGAGCCATTCCTTATTGAATCAGTGTTACTACAGGAGGAAACTTTGCGTTATACGTCAAACGGCAAACGCCAGGCAAAGAAAAATTTTACGGTGTCAGGCAATAAAGAGTAAATAAACTTGTTGTTTTAAAACTGAAATACATAATTATTCTTTCGACGCAAGAAAGAAAATATGAAACGAAAACGTTCAACGAAAATTTTGCCAAGAACGTTTGCCGTTCCCAGAAATGTGAAGCTTAAATTCCCTAATTACCTCACTGTTGGACAACGAGTAAAGGTAATCCTCATTTCTCTAGTGTTGCTACAAGAGAAATCCAAAAGCACCGAGGTGTTTAGTAGAGTCAAAACTGAAAGCACTCTTCTCATATTGCAGGAATCAAACCCTGGTGAAACACACATGCGCAACAGAAATGATCAAGGCAAGCATAACAATCAGACTCTCCCCATAAACTACAAAACAATCAGACTCTCTTCATAAACTACAAAACAATCAGACTCTCTTCATAAACTACAAAACAATCAGACTCTCTTCATAAACTACAAAACAATCAGACTCTCTTCATAAACTACAAAACAATCAGACTCTCCCCAATCCCTCACCTCCTTGCTTCACACTGCGCAACAAGCGGATATACTTCAACGGTTTCGCATCCTCTTGTTCTGCCGAAAATCTCACCGAAAAATTTGGGTTGTCTGGGTCGGAACTCTCCATGACCTGGGTAACCACGCCTACTTGCATCGGCTCACCCTCCTTAACCAGAGTGATAACTTTGCTACCGACCGCTATCTCCTTGGCCAGCGGTGCCTCGTCGAGGACCACGCCTCTGGCGTCATTCACGTCACATGACCAAGTCGCGCCATCGTCCAAAATGACGTTGATCTTTTTATCGATGGTGGTAATTAACCCTGGGACATAGCTTTTCAAGTCAGGAGCCCGAGCAAAGACCCGACTGCCAGGGACTAGCTGGCCTCTTGCAACTAAAAGAAGTTTACAACACTTTAGAAACTTCAAAAATAGAGAAAGCTAAACTACCTAAATTTATCTATTTACACCATTTCTAAACGACCAACCTTCCTTGAGGTACCATTTCTTGGAGTCAGAAATATCAACTGCCTTGAACAAGTCTGGAACATCCTCGTTCTTTCCTTCGCTGTCCTCGTCCTAAAACGAATTAGGTCCGTTGAAAAAACATGACATGAAAAATGGAGTGTTTCAGTAAGAGTGACAGCAGATGCTGCTCAACCTTTGATGATGACGTACCTTCGACGGAGCAAGTGATGTCGTCACCGCTGTTGCTATGCCAACAAAAGCAGGTGAAACGTTCAGATAGGCCACAGTAGTATTAAGATCAATATGAGGACGTCCTCCAATCATGGATGATAAGTGAAGGCAGATGTGTTTCACTCTGAGAACCTACACAACAAAGATTAAAGTGATGTTGTACAGAACTCGCTGTTGAGTTAAGCATGGTTAGATCATGCAAAGGGAGTACATGTTCTTGAATGTGGGCTACCTTAAAGTGATCTGATGTTGTACAGAACTCACTGTTGAGTTAAGCATGGTTAGATCATGCAGAGATAGTACATGTTCTTGAATGTGGGCTACCTTCAATGTTGTACAGAACTCACTGTTGAGTTAAGTATGATTAGATTATACAGAGGTAGTACATGTTCGTAGAATATGTCTATATGGTTATATCTACAGGGTGGGTTATAATAACCATGTCATTTATTGTATCATAGCCATAGTTATATCTTACATCAGCTTGTGAAATTTCCCTGCGATTCTTCTCAAACGAGGCAGTCACAACATGAAGATTCTGTATAGACGTTTGAAACCAAATCTGTTCGTCTCGGATTTTCAAACTCACATCCAGGGTATTCTGACGAAGAAAATAGAAGACTAACGTGAGGATACGAGAGAATAGTATTATCTGATAGCCACAAAGTTCCAATTAAACTAACTAAAAGATCTCTGCCAGTTCTGCACTGCTTCTATGCTCATAATCTCAGCAAAGTTGTTAACAAGTCATTTCTTGCAAATCCAAGTCAATTAGTTACTGTACAAGTTATTTTGTCCGAGTCCAAGTGAAGTCCCAAGTCATATACTTTGAGTAGCAAGTCAAGCCTAGTCACAAGTTATTCACTTTGAGTAGCAAGTCAAGCCTAGTCACAAGTCATTTACTTTGAGTAGCAAGTCAAGCCTAGTCACAAGTCATTTACTTTGAGTAGCAAGTCAAGCCTAGTCACAAGTTATTCACTTTGAGTAGCAAGTCAAGCCTATAGTCACAAGTTATTCACTTTGCGTAGCAAGTCAAGCCTAGTCACAAGTTATTCACTTTGAGTAGCAAGTCAAGCCTAGTCACAAGTCATTTACTTTGAGTAGCAAGTCAAGCCTAGTCACAAGTTATTCACTTTGAGTAGCAAGTCAAGCCTAGTCACAAGTCATTTACTTTGAGTAGCAAGTCAAGCCTAGTCACAAGTTATTCACTTTGAGTAGCAAGTCAAGCCTATAGTCACAAGTTATTCACTTTGAGTAGCAAGTCAAGCCTATAGTCACAAGTTATTCACTTTGAGTAGCAAGTCAAGCCTATAGTCACAAGTTATTCACTTTGAGTAGCAAGTCAAGCCTATAGTCACAAGTTATTCACTTTGAGTAGCAAGTCAAGCCTAGTCACAAGTTATTCACTTTGAGTAGCAAGTCAAGCCTATAGTCACAAGTTATTCACTTTGCGTAGCAAATCAAGCCTAGTCATCTGTGACCAAGTCAAGTCCTGTCGTACCTTTACGATGAGCGCATTAGTATCCTTCTGTTTAGCATCAGCCAATAGAAATATCTCAGGCTCTTCAACTTGTACCGTAACTTGAAGTACTGGGCTTTGATTGCCTGGTGTTGGCGGCGCGGTCGACGAACTAGCAAGGTCGGTTGAGACCATCCTAGCTTCTGTCAGAACCTCGGGCTTCGTCTCAGAGTCCTGGGAAGGAGCCTCCTCCAAGGCTTCGGTGAAGACAGTCGAGAGAACCAAAAGGAATTCAACATTGACAATAATTGACATCCCTTTCACGAGGACGGTGACTGGAGAGAATGGAAAGGAGTAAGATTGATCATGAAATACGTCTATACAATGATTATGGCAGAAACGTCTGGAGCACTACTATATACAGGGTGTCTAAAAAAAAAACGCTACGGAAATTCAACAGGCTGTTGTGCATCATAAACGTAGGTAAACAGTTCGATTTTTACATAGGAAGAAAGAGCTGTTATTTAGCTTTTCTATGACACCTTTTTGAAATCGTAACGATGAGAAATAGCTACACACTCGTCAAATAAAAATTGCCGGTCGAAATCACATTCTTCCACTGTTGGGAATTGAAAATACAATAATTATGCAAATAAGTTAGTCAATCCAAAAGCAACGCGAGCCTGCTGCAAGCTATTTGTTTCATAAAACGTTTTGATAACGAATGTTCTCTGTTCAGGGGTTAATTGAATCATGTTTCGTACTAAATTCGTATTGAGTTATTGTCTCACTAAGACGAGTTGAGCTTATTTTAGATAATTTAACATTCAATTTTAATTCCCTCTTGGGAATTGTTTATGTTTCGTTTTCGATGCAATTCCCAACGGTGGAAGAATGTGATTTCGACCGGCAATTTTTATTTGACGAGTATGTGGCCATTTCTCATCGTTACGACTTAAAAAGAGTATCATTGAAAAGCTAAATAACTGTTCTTTCGTCCTATGTAAAAATTGAATTGTTTAGCCACGTTTATGATGCATGACAGCCTGTTTAATTTCCGTAGCGTTTTTTTTTTGAGACACCCTAGATATCTTATATTCACTAGATAGTGCATCTCTTTTAGTAAAATTGAAGCCAAGAATATTCCAGCGGTTACCCCCATTTGAATAGATGGCGGCCATGTTGGTCGTTCCCACTTGCTAATAAACGCTTAAAAACAACAATAACTTTCATCATTTGAATAGTTTAAAAATGTATTTGGAATAGGGTTAACTTAATGTTTAAGTTCCGTGTTTAAGAAATAGAAAACATACGAATCTTCTCATTTCATGGGAACGACCTGAGACTGCAATCACGGCTTCAATTTTTGAATTGCAGAATAATTAGATGCACTATCTAGTGTGTATATAAGATATCTATGTGAGACACCCTGTATATCAAGACTGATTTACACTATGAAAGTTTCTGTGAGCATAGTTGATTGCAAAGGTAAGTTCTAAGTTTTGTAAGAATTTTTTGAGGGAACTGACTTAGTGTTTAACATTGAGTCAGTTTCTCCAAACATTTCTTACAAATTCTTGAAAACTTTATAATTTACCTATGCAAAATTCCAACTGTGATTACAGAAACTCTGATAGTGTAAACAAGCTTTAATACCGGGTATACAATATATTAAACGTACTGTAGGATGCAGTGTAGTATTCTACAATAAGAACTACCTGAAAACGATTAGAAACATTTGGACTACTTGACACTATGGAAGTGTAATCTTTTTCAAGTATAGTTCAAAATACGACTCGACTACCACTTAAAACTTACTGTTCTTGTCCAAATCTTTCGTTTGCTGGAACTGCACAGCAATCATGTTTGATGTATCGGATTGTGACGTTCTCTCATCTGTTCGTCTCTCTATCATACTAAACAGAAAATCAATTAATCTTTTATCGAAACACTTTTGAGTTCTTCTGGGATTTAATGCCAATTTCTAAGAACGTGGTCAATTTCTGAGCACATTGTTTTATGCAAACATGTTGTATGATTTCGTGTTGTTTTGCTTCGATCTTAACTAAACGTGACCTAACAAACAAAACATGAATATAAACAAACAAAACAAGAATATAAACAAACAATGAATATAAACAAACAAAACATGAATATAAACAAACAGAACATGAATATACACTAACGTTGTAATTCCTTTCTCCAGGGCAGCTCTTTTATCATCCAAAGAGATAGTATGCAGAACAACTGAGGTCTCGATGGCCCCGTTAGCACGAATAGAGCCAGCGAGATTGAAATGGTCCAATGAAAAATGACTAAGGCAATTCTCAGCAGGATGCTCCCATGTTAATTTGTCGTTGGCATCCTGAAGTGTAGGAGAAGGAGAGCTTTCAAGACTGTGGTAATCATGGTGGTGATTGTGGCGGTAATGACGGTGATTGTAGCGGTAATGATGGTGATTGTGGTGGTAATGATGGTGATTGTGGTGGTAATGATGGTGATTGTGGTGGTGATTGTGGTGGTAATGATGGTGATTGTGGTGGTGATTGTGGTGGTAATGATGGTGATTGTGGTGGTAATGAGGTGATTGTGGTGGTAATGATGGTGATTGTGGTGGTAATGATGGTGATTGTGGTGGTAATGATG